GATGATTTAGATGAGGGGATTGAGTCCATCATCAGCAAATTTGCAGATGACACCAAGTTGGGAGGGAGTGTCGACCTGCCGGAAGGCAGGAGGGCTCTGCAGAGGGATCTGGATAGACTGGAGAGATGGGCTGACTCCAATGGGATGAAGTTCAACAAGGCCAAGTGCCGGGTCCTGCACTTTGGCCACAACAACCCCCTGCAGCGCTACAGGCTGGGCACAGAGTGGCTGGAGAGCAGCCAGGCAGAAAGGGACCTGGGGGTGCTGATCGACAGGAGGCTGAACATGAGCCAGCAGTGTGCCCAGGTGGCCAGGAAGGCCAGTGGCATCCTGGCCTGGATCAGGAACAGTGTGGCCAGCAGGAGCAGGGAAGTGATCCTTCCCCTGTACTCTGCATTGGTGAGGCCACACCTTGAGTATTGTGTTCAGCTCTGGGCCCCTCAGTTCAGGAAGGACATTGAGGTGCTGGAGCGGGTCCAGAGAAGAGCAACGAGGCTGGTGAAGGGACTGGAACACAAGTCCTATGAGGAGAGGCTGAGGGAGCTGGGGCTGTTTAGCCTGGACAAGAGGAGGCTCAGGGGTGACCTCACCACCCTCTACAACTCCCTGAGAGGAGGTTGTAGCCAGATGGAGGTTGGTCTCTTTTCCCAGGCAGCTATCAGTAAGACAAGAGGACAGGGTCTCAAGCTCTGCCAGGGGAGGTTTAGATTGGATATTAGGAAGAAATTCTTTACAGAGGGGATAGTCAGGCATTGGAAGGGACTGCCCAGGGAGGTGGTGGATTCTCCGTCCCTGGAGGTATTTAAGAAGAGACTGGATGTGGTACTTAGTGCCATGGTCTAGTAACTGTGGTGGTAGTGGATCAAGGTTTGGACTTGAGATCTCAGAGGTCCTTTCCAACCCATCTGATTCTATGGTTCTTTGTGTATTAGGAGAAGGTTTGTCAGCAGTTCTGAATGGGATTGACTAAAAGCCAATAGGAATTCATGATTTTCAATATATATTTTTTATATATATATATTTGTAGGTGTTTAACTGTGGTGGTTTTTAGAAAAAAAAAAAAAACAACAATTTTTTTTTTTCAGGAAGAATTCCAAATTTAGATGTTTAGCTTTTGGTGTTACAATTTGGTAACTTTGTGTAACATAGTTTGATGTAACTGATTTCAGTGTTGAGTTCTCAGTATTTTATGTAATACTTGGAATAAAATCTCTAAGTACTGTGTTAATGCACTCTGGTCATACTGAGATCTCAGCATGTAATTACTGTAACATGTATGACTATGGCTGTTAAAGATATGGTTCTTTTAAATTCTGTTCTCTACAGTGGCTCTTAATAAGAACTTTAAGCTGACAGTGGATACTCTGGATCTGAGAAGGTTTGGCCTGTGGAGAAGTGATGGTGGCTGTTCTTCAACAACTATCATTTTTCTTTGGTTGTCTACGGATTATGTAGAAAACATGGAAACCCAATTTGGAAAGTTAGTTATCAGCAAGCCGTGTGAGTAATCTCTTTCCTTAAAAGCAAGGGAAAGGTCTAATTTATGGGACGTCAATCAAGTGGCTATTTCACAGTTGTATTTTTTGAATGTGGAAGAAAGCTTATTGCATTTTAAAGATAATTTGGTCAGTTTTGCTTTTCTAAAATGCCTTGCTATGCTTATATTTGGAAGAAAAAAATCTAACATGATACGATTCAAAACCAACTGCTATTTAATAGAAAAACCCCAACATACAGTCTAATTGTAGTCTGTGTGAGAAAACCCTTTTAACTAGACTTGTGTATAAAGCATCTCTCCCTTTACAATATATGGGATGTTTTACTTGTCCTTACTGCTGAGTATTGTATAAGCTAGACAAAAAGCTTGGCAAGTGAAGATTGATCTGTCACAAGACTGCATTGGGCCATAGCATTATTGTTGAAGAAAATTTCCACTAAAGGCCAAGTAGGCTCTTTAGGGTATTATGGACTGACTCTACTTGTTTTTCTAGCATGAAACTCTGTAAAACTGAATTTTACTCATATGTTCAGAGTGGCACAATTACACCAGGTTTTTATGTAAGCAAAATCATTGCAAAATAGCATCTACAAAAATGATGATGTCAGAGTTGTCTGTGTGAAATTTAATAGTATGTATTCCCCATATAGTCACCACCTGTATGAAGAAGAATTCTAAGTAATGCTAGCTTAACGTAAGGAGTGCAAGTAGTTTGAAGCAAAATACCGAGTGAAATTTTAGCAGAGGGCTACCTTTACTTGATGTAAGTTTATTGAAGTTACTGGTAGCTTCTGTAAGACAGTTTCCAGTGAAATGAGTGGAATCTGAGGCTGTGAGGCATCTTTTAGTTTTAGGTTTATTTACCTTGCTTACATTCTTGTTGAAGAAACCTTCTGCTCTGCCTTCTTAGTGTGTTAACATTAGAGGAAAATATGATGTGGTGTATCTGACAGCCTGAAAGGGGTCAGATGAGTTCCTCACCCAGGAGTGTTAGAAAGGACTTTATAAGAAGACAAGTGAGGCCGTGCTGATCAATGCACATGGCATGACCAGCCCTCTCTTTTTCCACACGCCTTCCTCCCCTTTGCCTGCCTTTAGTTCTTCCCTAAAACAACCCATGTTAAGTCCTTTGTAACCCCAAAATGCTCTTCCCTTGCATCCCGTTATGTGTGCTGTACAGTTCAGTATCAATCCCTTATCAGTTCAGAAAGTGCTCTAGCATCGACTCAGTGGGTGTTAGATCTGGACCCTCGGGCTGAGACTTTTTTGGGACAGCCCTGGGAAAGGCCCAGGTTGTGTTTGTCTTCCTCGCAGTCCTTAATTTGGGTTCCTACCTGCCATTTTGCCCCTGTGCTCCTCTGGGCTTATCAGTTGGGCCTTTGGTGGGCTGATGGCCCTTGTGATGCACCTGGTAGGGTATTATTTGGGCTCCCCTGCCTGCCATTGACTCCTTGTGCTCCTTTATGGGTGTGCAGGCAAGTTCTTATCACATAATCTAATAGCTAATACTATCCATTCTCTCCTTTTTCCAGCCAAACCTGGTGAATTTGTATTTCTTGAATTGTCCCAACCACTCACAGAGTGGGAAGAAGACAGACTGACTGAACTGATTACAAATGTGAGCAAGAAGAACAGAGCACCAGATCTCGCTGAGATTTTGTCCTTGAAGCAAGCATTTCCCTTGTTTAAGGATCTTACTCCTGAAGAAAGCTCTTTCATAAGTTGCCATAAGGATCTACTGAAGCAATATATGCCAAAAAAGAATACCTCAGATGCTCATGAATCTGCAGTTCAGGTTAGTGTGTAGGTGTTGCTTTATTTATCACCCCCTGTTGGCATTCATACATTCTAGTAAATTTTCCATCATCCTTCTTTCTTAATCCATGGCTCAAAAAAAATCAGTCGTGATTGCTGCAAAATTTGCAGTCAACTAGGTTGTGTCCACAGAGGGTTAGTGTGTAGACCTCATCAGTGAGTAGCAAGTGCCTATGCTTTAGATTGACTCCTGGTTGTGTATATTTAGAGCAGGGATATCCTGCCCTTGTGGTGTCTCTGGGGGAGCAAGTTGGGAGTTAATCAAGTAATGAATGGTGGAGACATTTTTAGGTTGAGCTGGAAAAGCAGCAGAGGAGGAGCTGTGTATATTGCTCTCCAGACACCTCTAGATGTACTTGTGGGGTCTCCACAGCTTGAAATGCTGAATGATTCCTCAGGCTGCTGGGGATTTGTGTCTGTGCAAGTTAATGTGTTGTCATGGTTTAATCCCTCTGAGGAGTAAATGTCTAAATCCAATCCCACATCATTGTCACTTCAGAAATTACATATGTTTGTTCCCACTAGTAAAAAGCACAGAGGCGACAGATAAATATGGTCCATGAAACTGGGGACTTAAATAGTGAGCCAACCAGCTCAAATCTGTATCATTTTTCAGGCAAATTGTTCAAGGGCTGGGTTATCAAACCTTCCAAGCACACACAGCTCCAAGTAAGACGGTCTGATACTTGTCTCCATCCTTTCAGGCCATGTTTCTTCTCCAAAACCAATTCTCTATCACTTGCCTAATACTTGGGGCAGTTTTGGAGAGATTATGAGCTAAGACCTGTCATCATTTTAAAAGACTCATTGCTTTTTATTGCCTGAACAGTGGCACGTTTGCCTAAATCCTGAAGGGTGCCTTTTGCTGTCTAGCAACAATCCTCTTCAGTGATACAGATTATTCCTGTGGGCTTTAGCTTGAATTTTGGGTGTTCTGTTTTACATATATACCAAGCTGTATAATGCTTTTTACTAATATTATTGTTTGTGTTTTTTTTTTCTGGTAGGAATCAAAACTAAAAGTGGTCAGGCCCAGTTATGCACTTGCAAATAAGCAGAATTGTGGTTGCTATTCTATCTCTTTGTCCTCTGCACTGAATGAAGAATGGAAAGAAGTAAGAGAAACAGGAACAGTTAAGAAGTAAGTAATATTTCATATAAATGAGAAAATAAAAGAAATTGAATAAATAAGTTGTGGAATAAAAACCCTCACTTAACTACCATTCTGTAGTTGACTTTGAAGTTGTGTGAAAGTTGCTCTAGATAGCTAAAATATCCCCAAGTCTAAGTGTAGTTATTAATTTTCCATCCTGATAGTTAACAGACAGAATGGATGTGTTAAAGGATGACAGAAAATCTCACAGAAATTAAAGAATACCCGAACTGTGACTACAAGGTCACATCATGGTTGCATCAATGGGGAGGGTAGGGACCTCGTGTGTTCTGTAAGTGTCCATCTAAGTCCATCTTAGCAGAACTGTTGCTGATTTAAGCTGAGCCTTTTTTAAAATCTAAACTGTTTTCTTTCACTGCGTCACAGTCTTTTTATAACTGATGTGTCATACAGTTTACTTGTTAGTACAGGAGCTTGGCTGGAAAAAGACACTAGTGTATCAAGATGCTGGGAGAGCACTCACGTGCTCAGTTCTGTCTGCACTTGCCTCTTGGTCCTCATACTTGTAGTACAGCAAATATTACTGGAGTAAATTGCTCTTAAGAACTCTTACCTTTTGCTGTCACTGTTTCTACTGGCAGTATCACAGTTGGTTTTGCTTTTTCAACAGCAAAAACGCTCAGTTTATGGTTCCAGTTAACTAATAAGGTTTTTAGTCTGGAGCCTTTTACATGCATTTTAAATACTAGTGGTAGAAGTAACTCAGGCAGTTTTAAACCACTTACAAATACATATGCTACAAGCCCAAATTCGCTGCCTGGAAATGTTGGAGTCCTTGTTGGACTGTTTATTCAGACCATTTGTTCCCTGGTATTTCTTCACGTTTTATATAGCCATTTCTCAACTACTTTTATCAAGAATGGAAAAACAAGATGCAGGTAAAAAATAGTCTCCTTTCCAAAGTTTTTCTCAAAGTTTCAGTGTGCATTGGAGTGAGTATTTCTTTTGAAACACTTGGCTACTGGAGGAAGAAATGGTAAAGGACTTTTGAGTTAGCCAACAGTTTTGAGAACTACTACTTTAATAGGTTTTTCTAGAAAATCTTCTACATGTGAAACAGCCATACTAAGAAGAGTGTCATGTAAAACAGTTTGTCACCGTTATGACATTGATTTATGTTTTCTAGTTTAATTGTTTACCCACCCCCACCTGCAAAAGGAGGACTGGGAGTCACAAGAGAAGACTTAGAGTGCTTAGAGTATGGAGAGTTTCTCAATGATGTCATCATTGATTTCTATCTTAAGTAAGTAATCACAGTCCTGCTTGTACCCTCCTTCCTGGGGCCTGATCTGGACTGGAGTGTTACTGTAAATGTTGGTCACTAAACACCATACAACAATTTCAGAAGTAAAGTGTGTGATGAGTTTGTATGTTGGACTTGTCTAAAAGCTTTTTTATATTCTCGCAGTTTTATTTGTTTTAATTTAATTCTTTATATCCCTTTAAAGGGCTGTGATATAATCCAGACAGAATAACTGGAGGAAAAAAGCCTCTTGGTGACCTTACACACCAGAAAGTACTGAGCAGTGTTAAGTAGGCAGTTGAATAAAGTAGATGGTCTGCACGAGTGTTTTATTTACTAAGTTTGCATGAAGTGGAGCATCCTCTGCTATTCTTTTCAATTTCAGGCATTCTCCTGATGCAAATCTCCTGCAGAAAGGAGCACAGCTAATACTTCTTGAGGAAGTTGTGCTTGGCCAAGCTACTCCATGCCACCCTGCTAAAGTTGCTTGTGAAAGCAGTTTTTCAAAAACTGGCACTGTAGCCACCATTCCCCAAAGTTGAGGTTTCTTTTCACTCTGCTGACTTAGACCTTAGAAGAATTATGGTTCATTGAAGGTTGTCAGCAAGAACTCCATTTTTACTTGGCATCCAGATGACTGAAGGAGCAGGAGCAATAGGAAGCCTTGTCTAGAGGAGTGGGAAAGAAGATGTGTTACAGTGTGTTTCAATGGGATTTTGCAGCAGACCTCCTTATATTTTGCTCTAAACTAGAAAAAAATAATGCAGCATGGTCCTCTCAATAGCTGTAGCTTCGTCTCAACATGAAAAGAAAGATTTAAATAAAAGAATTTAATGCAATCATTGCAGAAACTTCTCTGCTTTTAAAATTTGTTAGACTTCCCACATTCTCAGCTTTCATTGCATTGCAGGCTTTGTCATGTATGACTGTTTTCTAAGTCATCAGGTGAAGCTGGAGGCATCCTGTGTAGGATAACTGCAAGTATGAGAGCTTTGACCTTCTAGGATGACAGAATAAACACTCAAGCTGATGTTTATAGTGAAGTTATCAACAGTGAAATAATAAGTACTTATAGAATATTTGACTTCCACAATGCTTAACCTGCAAAAGTTAAACAGACAATTTATTGTACTGACCTTTGCATGTTGTACATGCAGGAGTATAGCACTCCATAAGTTTATATTTGGTTAGGTTTTAAACCTGTCTTAGTTGCAAGGGCTAAATACCTAACCTTAAAAATAAATTCAGAAACTTGAATATTGGAGCACAAATCTTGGACAAAAAATTAATACATTCTTAGTAGTTGCTTGACTGTTGTACACTCTGATGTCCATGCATGTGAATACTTAAAATAGAGCAGAGACAAGTTTGGCATGATTAGTGGCTGTGAAGACAACTGGTAGTAATTATAACCTGAGTACGATAAGTCATTAAAATGACTGTCATTTTTTTGTCTGTAATATTAGTTTCTAGAAAAGGAATTTAATAACTTCCTTTTTTTTTTCTCTTTGGTAGATACCTGTTGTTGGAGAAGGCACCAAAACGTCTTGCTGACCGTACACACATTTTTAGCAGTTTCTTCTATAAGTGCCTGACCAGGACAGAAAAAACCTCTGAGGGGGATGTCAAAGTTTCGTAAGTTCATTTTAGATACCATTATAACCAGAAAGAGGCTATCTATTTATGCCACTTAGGCTATCTGTTCTCCAGATCACCTACTGATGAGTACATGAAATAGTAATTGGTGTTCTCCAAAGGATTAGTGGTTGAATATTGTAACTCACAATTTAAGCATATTGGTGTTTTTCCTTAAAATCTACACATGATTGATACTGAATATGAACAAAAATGTTATCACCTTTCTCTAACTTGATTTAATCTTTACTTCGGACAGTTATTTATGTATTTGATATTTTTATCAGAAACTCGGAGCAAAGTTCTATGAAATGTTGGTTTCTATTTCAGCTTGTGCAAACTAAGAAAGCTGAAAATCTAAATTTAGTTTTCTTCTCAGAATTTTCTTATTCTCCTAGTGTCATCTCCTCATGCTTTATGTCTGTAGAACTGGAAATGAAATGTGCTCTAGCATTTAAATCTCAGGACTGGAGGGAATCTCTTTCTCTTCTGTGTTTGCTGCAGGTGTGCTAAATGACCCTGTGCAAGGCATTTAGTTTTTCCCCTTCAAAAGATAAGGCTGTTTAGACAGGCCTTCAAAAGTGGCATTGGAAAGTTTAATTCATGGATGTTTTTAATTACTATAGATATGTTTTTACACTGACTGGTGTTTAGGTGAGATTTTCGCATTTAGTGTAGTAAATAATAATTAGTTGATAAATAACTGCAAGAAATCCATTCAAATCTACGAGTAATTTTTTTCCAGAAGAGTTTGAGATCGTTCAGAAATGGCTTGTTTGTCACTTGGGCTCAATAGTGTGCTGATTTATTTTTAATCTGTGGGGAAATTTCAAGAGTAGGTGAAAAACACATTGAGGGACTGGGGAGGTGTAGGAGTCCTAACTCCTGTGCTTGCCTTATCTGAATAAAACAAAAACAAATAGCAATTGTCATTTGATTTCTTCAGAGTGGCACAGAGAAGACACAGAAGAGTAAGAACATGGACTCGTCGTATAAATATCTTCAGTAAAGATTATATCTTTGTGCCTGTGAATGAGGAGTAAGTCTGTGTGTTTTCAACACTTTTTCTGATGTCAAAGATTTAAATATTTGAATGTTTTGGTGGTAAAAACTTATAGCTGTAAGGTTGGATCATTGGACATGACACTTAAAATTTTGAGCAAGTAACAGGTGTGAAATGGGTAATTTTGAAGTCTGTTTTAAAGATAAAATGCTTATGGATGCTCAAAAATTGATAAATTGCTGTGACACATTTTTGTTTGTTTATTTGTTTGTTTTTCCCAAGGAGATCAATACTGATTTTTACTGTTATGCCACAATGCAAAATAAAAAAAATGAATGAGAGGACTGGTATGAGATGTCATAAAGGAACATGGCAGTGATGGTTATATATCACAGAACACTTGCTCATGAGCTCTCAGAATTATAAAAGCTTTTGATAGCCTTTTGAGGACCAAATGTTTCACAGTTTTGACGTTTTTCCCCCGTCTCCTCCCTGCTGGGCAGGTCTCATTGGTACATTGCAGTTATCTGTTTCCCTTGGTTAGAAGAAGCTGTGTATGAGGATTGTCCCCATCAGAATTCCTTATCTCACCAGTCTCCACTTCGTTCAGAGAGTGAGAACACTAGACCTGGTTCAGTGTTCTTCAAGGGTGAAGAAGAAATGGATTCCAACAGAATTTTATTCTCAAAAGGTAGGTAATCCAGAAGAAAATGATGTCAAACCATATACAGTTCTAACAGTGTCTTAATCCTTGAAGGAGGGAAATCAAGTAAGAGATACTTTTTAGGATATCGAGGCTGATGTAGTTTGTTTTCATATTACCATCCATAGCAAGGACTGCAGGTTATCTGCAACTCTGAAAAATACTGGAAGGGACATGTAAAATCAATGATGATTGGAAAGTTATTTCATTTCAGTAAGAATTTTATCAGGAGGGAAGACCCTCAGTAACTCTATTTGAACATTCAGATACGAATGTTCGAAGTTAGTTTATAAGTCAGTTCTTCACTGTCATATTTTTAATGCTAATAACCAGGAACTTGAAAATAAAAATATTTTGGTTAGAAAATATTTTCTTAAAAGACTTACTAATTTGTTCTTTTGTACTAGGTGGCAATGAAATTGCTGCTGCTGCTTCAGTTCTAGATTCAGCTATTTCTAAAGTAAGTACCTTTTTGTACTGACAGAGAAAATGTATTACTCTGGTTCTGAAGGCTGTGAGACTTGACCAAGTGATTTTGCATCATCGTTTTTGCAGTAGCTATCAATATTTTCATAGCCTGCAGTATGTGCAAGGCATTTTTAATTAGCCTTAAGTCCTCCTTTGCCTACCTATGTTGCTCTGCTAAACTTTCACGTGTTTTTAAAAATTATTTATCTGTCTTCCTGAAATGAGAACTTCTCTCACTACCTTTATGTCTATGAAGATGGTAGTTTATAATTACTGTTAGTTTTTTTAAAAATTATTTTCTTTTCTTTTCTCTCAGATCTCCCTAAGTAATTCCAAAAGGCAGATTTGTAAAAGGTATGTTTCAGTTTTCCTTCTAATTTTGTAACATTAATTTACATTAAGAAATTCTGCAGTAATTTAGTTATTTTTCATAAAGCCACAGCTGTAGGTACTTGTCCATTTTTACCACACTGGTTCAGATATTGATGCTCTTGGTAAGCTCTATTCAAATAAAATATTTGCTTCAGTAATGTGATAATGAAAGACTACAGTGATTTGTTTGTTTGTTTTTGTTATATACAGGCCTTGTATACTCATCTTAGATTCTTTGAAAGCTGGTTCTGTGCAGAAAACAGTTCAGGTTTTGAGAGAGTAAGTAACTACAGTTTCTTCCTTTTAATAAGAGATGCTGCTGGTCATATTTCTAGATTCAAAATACTTTTCTCTAAAAACGTGTATATTTCTAATGCTAAAGGAAAATCCAGGAAGAGTCACAACAAAGAAAGCTATGACTGCAATACAGAGGCTTCCATGAAAAGCTTGTCTTTGTCCTAGAGTGAAAATATAATGCAAAAACTGTAAAATGGACGGGTTTTAAAATTGGAAAAAAAAATAGAAGTAGAGGGGGTTTTGTTGTTGAGGGGTGGAAGAGGTTATCTCATCCAGTTGAGTAATTGAGAGTGTTTTTAAGGGTAGAAAAACATTTTTTAAAACTAATACTTTGAAACTTAAATGATTGGTTTTCCAAAGGGCTGCTGTTCATTTTTTTTGATGGTGGTTAATTACAGAATTACAGTGTTAAATCCACTCCTATATATGTGCAAAAACGTAGAAAGTAGATTGAAGCTATCTAAAAGCTTGATGTGAGGTAGAATGGAATGGTATTATTTGTTTTGAAAAGTGAGAATAAAAATATATTCAATCTTTTATATGATAAGTACGTAAGTATTGGAAGAATGTCCTAAAAGTTTCAGTACTTTTACATGCTCCTTGTTACTTCTACATCTATCAACAACTTTTTAAAAAGTTGTTAGATATTTGGATTGAAACAGAATTGTTCATTTTCTTCTCTGTCGTATTCATTTCACTGAAAGGAACAAAAATCTGTAAGCCAAATAGTCTGCCTTTTTCTAAAAGAAAATTCTTCAAAATAGTATGAGAGAGTTAGATGACAATCAGAAATTTTTGTGAAATCATCTTTTCCCTAAATACAGAGAACTCCCTATCATGTATGTCTTGGGAGGAAGAATGAAATAGCAAATCTTTATTTATTTATGGATAAAATCTCAGTGGGATCTAGATTTTCGTGCTCAATGCTTTGCACAGTTCCTGAGGTTGAAATTCCAGAGAGTGTGGTTACCTGGAGTTTAGACAGATGTCACAAAAAGTTAGAAAACAAGTGGAGATTTATGGAGTTGTGAGATAAGGGAAGTTTGGAAATCACACCTCTTATTCCTTTGATTTTCAGTTACACCCAGGAAGCCAAAATTTGTGCAGGGGTTCCATGATCCCTTCTTTCCTTGAGTTGATTTTTGTTCTGTTTTGGGCAGTGATCAGGCTCAAACAAATTAATTATAAAGTCTACAGCCATAGGTTCTTGCGATTTCTAGGGAGTGTGCTTCATCTTTTTTTTCATGTTTGCCTTTTTCACAGTCACCATTTTCCCCAAAAGCTGTTTTAAGTGTTGGATATGAATTTTTATTCACAGAATTGCAAGGACTTGGGGCTTTTAGAAATCAAACACCAGTTCTGACATAATGCATAGATTCATTATTCTCTAAAGATCTCTCTTAGGTTTGATTTTCACAAGCTTGAGCCTTTGCAAGTCTGACTAAAGGTAGAAGAAAAATATGGGCAACCATTAGTTTTGAAAATCAGACCCCTAAGCTCTCAATTCCATCTCTAAAATCAGCAGTCAGTCCAGAATGTGGAGGCAGTGAGTTGCTACTGAAGCACAAGTACTAAACAAGTATAAAGCCTGATAACATATCAGTCCTAACCATTAAAGAAGAGATCTCTTAACATTTTCAACAAGTCCTTATATACCTTGTACACTAGGGTTATATTGGTGCATTTCTGACTGAAGTTGTTTGTCATGTGAGTTTGGAGGAGTTTTTAATGGTTTTCTTAGGTTTAAAAAAACACTCCTGGCCTTCTAGGATTAATCCAGGAAAAATCTGTGTGATAGCCAGGAATGATTCCTGGAGTTATTCCTTAAGATTTAAGAATGTTCTGCTATCCTAATAGCTTGAAGAAACTCAGCACAAGTAACTGTTTTTAAATAATATCATGCCCATTTCTGTTTTGTATATTGCTTATTATGTGGTAGAGATGCTTCTGAGTGCAGTAGAATATTGGATAGTGGAAATAGTATATAAAGTTCTTTGGCAGATTCTGTGAAATAAATTGATTAAAACTATTTTAGCTTTTTGGCCAGCTCTGGTACAATATTGAATGGTATCCCCAAAAAGCTGAACTATTTGTCAAGTATTTCAAGTATTCCTTTCTCTTGTAGGTACCTTGAAATGGAATGGGAAGCCAAGCGGAAAACACATCGGGAATTCAGTAAATCAACAATGATTGATCTGTGTCCCAGAGTGCCTAAGCAAGATAACAGCAGCGACTGTGGGGTCTATCTGCTGCAATATGTGGAAAGCTTTCTCCAGGTACAAAAATGGAAACTACCTTCCCCTTTCCACCAAATTGCCTTAAACCCCAAGAACATATTTCTAAAGGAAATAGCCAGACACAAAAGTGTGTGATGCATAGTGTTAAAAGTGTCAAAGCCATTTGAAGAAGAGAAGATGAAACCCATTCTTCACATGGTGGCTGGGATCTTCATATGTGGTTTCTCATCTGTCTGTCAGCAAACATTTCTGACCTTGTAGTTTAATGTTGCTTTTACATTGATGCATTCCATATCCCTAAGTATTTGGGTGTATTTGGAAGCTATTTCATGTACATATTGCTGCCCTATGGATGTTACAAAAGTATCTTTTCTTTGCATCAGTTCTTGTAGCATCTAAAACTTCGGTCAGCTTGTGCATTGGCCTTTGAGTGGCTCTGCAGGCAGCAGCTTCTGCAGAGAGAGTATGTGGTGGGGGGATTCTTAAAGGGGAATGCACAGACCTAAGGGAGCCTCTCTTTTTGTTTAGCACATACCTTCAGATCGTGGGGATGTTGTGAGATACCTCATGTGACAGGATTGCCACAATGGATAAATAGACTCTTCAGAAAGGACAGGCAGGGAAGAAAAGGAGGTAGAGTTGCCCTTGATGTGAGAGCAGCTGGAATGCATGAATCTCTGCCTAGGGTTGGATGAGAAACCATCTGAGAGTTTATGGGTGGTGACTAAAGAGCAGGCTAATATGAGTGACATAGTAGTGGGCATCTGCTGTGGGCAGATCTGATCTGATCAAGAAGTGTGTTTACCATGAGTAACTTCTGGTAAGGGTATGTATATATATGATTGTGATGGAGGAACTGCAATTTGACTTTGAAACCTGTCACACTCCTATGGGAATTTGTTTGTGCCTCCTTGGTCTCAGCAGCAGTGGAAAAATTTGAAATTCTTTTTGAAGGTTGCTTTGGGAAATTCATGCCATCCTTTTTCTGTCACCAGAACCCCATAGTTAACTTTGAAGAGCCACTGCATCTGGAGAATTGGTTTCCTCGTCAGCTGATCAGAAGCAAAAGAGAAGAAATTCGTGACCTGATCTTGCAATTGCACTTTCAACAGCATAGTGGCAGCAGCAGCTAACAAATCTAAAGGCAGACCTGGCAAAGGACATTGCTGTATAAAGTAACTGGAACTCTGCCTAGCAGCACTTGATCTCTCCCTGCCTTGCAAGGAACACAAAAAAAAAAACAACCAGAAGAAGTATTTTTTGTTCAGCATGTATTTATTTAAAGATTTTTTTTTCAGTGGTGTTGTGTGGTCCTAGAATGCTGGGAGGGGGGAAGGGAGAAGGTTGTAGCTAAGAGTGTAAATATAAGTTAAAGCTAATGCACGTGGATTGCTAGTTGAACCTTTGTTTGGCATATAAAAACTGCTTACAGGTATATGCCACAAAGATATAAAAATACTTTCGTCTTTTGGAGCCTCTTCTTTATAATTCTACTTAAACGTGAATGGTATATAAACATGGAGTTGGCCATGACAACAGGATTTTGGTCCTGTATGTGTCTTTTGATTTTGCAACTGATACAAATTGAGTGAATACTATGTATTGTTTTAATTTAAGGATGTAATATTGACTCTCTTTAGAGATTTATGTTTTTGTTTTGTTTCTGATTATATACAGACATAATCTGCATGTGTCAGAAAATTCTGCCAAGATTTGAGGCTGAGTTTTTGTTATATTTTTTATTAACATTATTTCCCTCCCTGTAATTTTCTTCATAAAAATGAGTTTTCAGGAGTGGAAGACATTTACTTGAGAGTGACTATTGAAATACTCTAAAGTCAAGAGTGGATTTTTTTTAAAGTATTTTTTATTTTTTTTTCTTATCAGATTTCAGAAGACAACTTGCTCGCAAAGTACATACCAATACAGTATGTGTAAGCAGTAGATTTTTAATGCTGTTCACCTGTTTTTTGGAAATAATTTCTACAAATCTTATCATCACCTGCATTAGCAAGGCAAGCAGGCTGTGGCTTAACAGCCTCAAAAGTCTGAGGGGTTTTACTGAAAATTAGGGTCAATATGTGTGTGTGATATGTCTTTAAGATATGTGATTTACATATAAGACAAACAGGATTTACACTTAGCTTAGAAGAATTGCATAAAGATGCATGAATATTGAGTGTCTGAACTCAGACTTGATTTGATAAACTAGCATAAGTTTATCAATCTGCCTACATATTTATGTAGTTTTTCCTCAAATAGCAATCACATAAAATTTCAATAACATTTTGATGTGCACACTTTTTTCTGTACTTTCTGCACGATAGAAGGTGATTGTTATAAGAGGATGTTTTCTCCTGTTCCTCACTATAAGTTTAAGTGTCATCTCACCCTTCAGAAGGTGTGCCAGATAACCACCAAAGCCACCTGTGTCATGAAATAATCTACAAAAGCAGAGCTCTTAAACTGGAAGTAGGATAGGGAGTTAAAATAAAAAATGAGGGCAACCCAAAGATATGAACATTGTTATGTCACTGCAGAATTCTCAGGGCCCCTTCCCTCAAGACAACTCTGAAACTGAGCATTTGGAAAATCCAGTTATTACTTCAGGTCCTGTACAGTCATCCAACACCCCCCCTACACCCCCTTATTGTTTCTCAAACCAGGAAGCATTCTTGCTGGAGCAGAGAGGCAATTTGAAAACAAAGCAATTTGCTGAACACAGTTACCTTCTGTATAGCTGTGAGCAGCCCAGTACAATTACTGTATGTTTTTTGTCTTTGTTTCTACTTTAATTCTGTAATATGTCACTACCCGTCCTCCCCTCCACCCCCCAACATCTCTCGCTCTCATCACGGTGTTTGTTGTTCAGTACCTAAATCACAACACCAGCATTACTTACAAGGGTGATCTATGTATTTATTGTAAAACAAATGAAAGATAAAATGCAGAAATACGTGCCCTTTTTTAATTGATGAATATTTTCAGTGTTTCCTTATAAAAAATAGTTTGGGCTTTTTCTTATGGTAAAGTTAGCTTTTATCATCAAGTGAGACTTGTTCTCTTTCAGGTTGACTGGTTTATAAATGTTTAAAAGCAAAAGTAATTTTTAAAATTTTCTAAATTTATTTTATAACATGAAAGGATTGCCTTTTTAGATTTGCTACATGCATGCTATGAGAATGCCAATGCATTTGATATTAAAATTATCTCCAGAAGTTGCTGAATGTGATTGTTCTTTTCCCAGCTGCCACAAATAACCCATGAGCTAAGTGAAAGATAGGCCGTCTTGCTACTTTTAAGGTATATGCACAGGATGTGTCCCTGAACCCCAATGTCTCTCAAAGGAATTATGGGACCACCACCTGCAACCCACCCTGTTCCAGCGCATTTGCATTTACCAGGTACGTGGTAAATGCTGGGAAGTGTCTGTGGAAGAAGTTACACTCCAGGTATTTTAGTGCTTCCTTTTTATTTGCTAATGTGCCCCAGAGTTAACTTTTATCACGTATAAGGCACCAGACTGACTCAGGGACCTTTTTGCACAACCCCTGTGTTTCCATTGCCTGTATTAACCCCTGTTTAACTGAAAAGGTGGAGTGACATGATACTTCAAAGCAAACCAAACCAATCTTAGTAAGACTCTTTATCCAAAGCTGTGTAATTTTGGTTTCAAGGCAGTCTATTGTATCCATCCAAAGTGTTAAATGTAGCTGTCAGTTTTGTTCTTCTACCTTCTGCCTTCGTGAGAACAGAAAGTGGCTTCCATGAAGAAATCTGAGTCATGGAGATCCATTTAAGGTACTGTTGGCAAGCACAACACAAGATCTTTCAGGAAAAATATTTAAAAAACCCTAGATTTCATCAAGAACTGGAGAAGTGGACTTGCAAGTGTGATTTTATTATTATTTTTTTTTCCAATTTATTTTTTTAGAGCATCCAGGGACTATTGTGTTTTTCCTCTGGAATTGCAGGTATAGGTTCATTGCAGTCTTTCTGTGCTTTTGTGGGACTTGCCTCCTAGAATTTGACCCTGAGATGAGCTTGCAGTACTCAGTAAATACTACCTTACAAAATAATAAAAGCTTGAAGACCACAGTATTAACACTTTTATCTTGGTTATGGCAAAGAAACAGAATATTGCTTCTGACAATCCCCCTGCCTGCCCCTCCCCCCTCTTTCCTCCCAAAAAAGACAACTGTTTTCCAGATGGAAAAGCAGGAATGAGACTTGAGAGGTCTCAGTATTGAAAATGTGTCAAATAAAGCCAAGATTAGCAATAATTCTGTTCAACCAAATTGAAGTTGGAAATACTGTTCAAAGATGAAGCACAGGCACTGACCTTTGATGATGAGCAAGGTAAGAGGTTTCTGATCAACAGTTCAGAAAAGGAGGAATGCTGGGAGTAGGTTTACATTATATGGACAGAGTAGATAATGAAGTATTGACCAAATGAGATCCGTTTGGTTGACCTCACTTCCTAATTTTTCTGCTCCAAATACTTTACAATACTACACAATTGAAGAAATGTCAGTACAGCAGGTTCTGGGGAGCTGAATTTGGTCATCTGGAGGGTTCAACAGACTCAAGACATGTTTATTCTTGAGAGGTGGTTCACCAGAGAACTCTCCAAGAGCACAGACAAAAAGTGATGGTAAAATCCTTGGCAACAGCAACCACAGAAACTGACCAAGTGAAGAGGTTTTGTTTAACGTAATTGTCTCAGCTAAACTGATTAGGAATTTTGTTGGTGAATCCTGTAAAGATGCCATAAAATCAGTTGCTGTATCCAGTCACAGGATGCAATTTATAATCTTAATATTAAACCCCATGAGTTTGGAGATAAGTGTCTACCATGATGTAGTTTTTATTAGAGGCATTTTCATTGAAGTATACCTTTATTTTGTATTTTGTAGTTACAGGTGAGTGGATTTATAATTTTGAATAAAATTTGAACAACAAAGACATTATTTGGAACAGGATGGTGCTGTAGCAGAATTTCAGTGAGCATTACCCTGTAGAGAACTATAATTCAGGTAATCACATTTGCTATATGAAAGTATTTTTTCTTAGAAATACAAACTGTCAGAAAACTGTCTTTATTTTTGGAGGTACTGGGGTGACCTTGACCTGTTGCATCACTAGAATTACACTTCCCTTTTTTCTCATTTAGCAAGAATATGCTTTTCCTGAATAGTTTTGAACAGATACAACTTGGCTGCTGGAAGTGAAGGATTACGCATTTTCTGGTACAAAGTGTTGCTGTAAAGGCTGTAGTCAAATCAAGGGAGGAGTTAATTTTTCACAGTTATTTTGGAAATCTATTGCAAGAGTTATTTTGCTTGCTTTACAGAACTTTAATTGATGATTGTACTTTGCAATGGCAAAAGGCATAACTTAAATGTAGGAGATTTTGAGCTGTTGCAAATCTACATTTCAGTGCTGAAATCAAATGAATTTAAAATTGATAGCTTGAACTAATACAAAAACTGAATTAAAATTTTAAAAATATTTTATCACACAGAAGCTGACATCGCAATACTATATAAAACAATTTTTGACAGAGATATAAAGGCATTTTTTATACCATTCACATTCTCAGTGCCTTTGAGTGCTTGGCTGACGAAAGAAACAGCAATGCCATAAATCTAAAAACTCTCCAGGAAAGCTTTTAATTGGGTTTCATACTTTTACTGAAGTATGTGTATTCTGAGAATTGTCTGTAAAAGGATTAGTTGTCACGTGTTCTGGGCACCATTGCAAGGCTGGTCCCGTGCCATTTAATTTTCAGCTCCAGCGTGGTGACTGCGCTTGATGGTGCTGCCAGCATCTTAGTCAGCTTGACAGAGACAGAATAGCTCAACAGTGATGATTTGATAGATCAAAAATGTGTGATTCTAAGAAAACTGGGGGTGTTTGAGTAGCTCAGTGGTTAAACTGAAGTGTAATATAATAGGTTTGGGGGGGACCCCAAATATGTTTTAAAAAATACCAGCTGGATTCTGTTTCATGTCAACAGAGCCTAAAAGCAAAGGTAATTTTATTTGATTCTTGTCAGTGTTGTGTATATGTAATACTGATAATTCCAGATATGTGGGTTCCTGTGAGCTCAGAAGAGCAGCTGGAAGAGGGGAGTGAGCACTGTATGCTTAAGCCGCTCTGTATAAAAGCTCTGCAGACATACCTGGGAAGCCTTGGGAATCCAGCTTTGAAATGCTTACCCAAAACTACTACCAAAAATAGTCACTTCAGACAAAACAGCAGTTTGTTCAGATTGATCTGAACACAGTAACCAGCAAGTCCTGAGTACCACCTCCCAGGAGACAGCCCGGGAGCTCTCCTAGTCGTCTGAATACAGTCTGCCATTGCAGGACAGCTTCCGTACACGTTTCCACAAGGACCTGACCCCGGACAGGAGGTGCTGCTGCGAGTGCTACTGCTTTCCAGTACTCTCTCCTTTCTGTTGCTGTCCTTAGCTGATGATCTCTTCAGGTGTCTACACTAATTTGTTCCTACTGCCTGTGTCAGGTAATACCCGAACAGAGATGAAAGAATCACAACCTGCCCTGGCTTTATCTTTGGAGGGAGCACTGCTGTTGGGATGCAAGGGATAGTGGTGTAACAGCACAAGACTTTCTGCTTTAGCACAAGCTCGGGCAGCAGCTCTGTCACCAGAAGAAACAGCCCTCCAGAAAGGTTGCTTCAGTGCTTACAAATGCAATGGTGTTTAGGTGAGCCATACATTTATATATGTATTTGTACACGCAGAAGACAAAGTACACTGAGACCTTCCAGTGGAGACTGGTGTGCTCCTTCTGATGTTTTGTGGTCAACATGGTTTTAAAAAAAAGGGGCAGAAATTGAAAGGCCAATGAAAAAACGTGGTTAATTGGATGTGAAAGGTGCTGTCCTTGTTTGGACTGTCTGTTAATGGTATGACAAGCTCTGGTAAAGAGCTTAGCTGGCCAGATTAAAATTAAAAAATTGTGTCAGTCCATCTGCTAGCTCCAAGGAGTTTACTTCGATCACCTTTTCTTGTTTCTTCACTGAAGCGGAATACTGTCTTTGAAAAGAACATTCCCAGGATGTCTTGGTTGACTTGTTTTACCTAATGTTTTCTCCAAAGATAATAATATGTGACGTCAAGACATTTTCCAGAAGGGCAATGCTCTCGGTTGGTTCAAGGCTACCTTAAAGACAACAGCTCTTTTGATAGAAGGGATTCTTCTTTTTTTCCCTTTTTTTATTTGTACACAAAGAAGTATGTTTGGCTTAATTTGGAAAATCTTTCTTTGCCTTCCGGGAATGATTAACACCGATCTTCAAGTAGTTGCAGGTAATGCACAAGTCTTACTTATATACTTGTTTTCAAAGTTTACCTATGGCAGTGTGTAGAATTAGAAATATCTCTCTGCTTTAATTATAACAAAGAGGACTAAGACAGAGAAATGTTTGGTCAAATCTGTGCCTTGATAGCAGTGTAAATATGGAATACTTAGAGTGATTTCCAGGAGGTGTAACTGCACATTTGTGTTGAGTAGCATGTAACTAAAGGAGGCAATTTTCCAGTTTTGGGAGATGTTAAACACTGGTAATTTTTTTCTTATTATTGATTTTTTAATTAGATCTTAAAAAGTAAGGTTCTGTCTTCTGCTTATGGATACTGAATATGTGTCAATTTGAGTAAAGATTGGGGGTTTGTCTTACTGACCATTTTTGATGTTCTTTTCTCCCTCTGATGAACCATCTGGTGGTGATCTTCTGCACTAGAGCTGACTATTAATATAACGTAAAAATAATCACGCTCTTCATCTTTCAGTCATAGAAGTCAAACATGCTACTGACTTTGAAGCTGCAGAATGAACTCATAATCTGTGGGATGAAAAATGCCATAGAGTTATTACTGCTCTTTCTCAAACGATTTCTTGTGCTTCTTTTTTAGGCATGTTTTCTGGGGAAAAGGTTAAAGAAGTTGAATTAAATAATTTCAGATCAGCTGACTGTGAAGGATAGAGAACTAGACTGTCAAGAGTGAATCCCAATATGCACATTCTATCCTCAGCTGTTTCCACAAGTTTCCTCTGGAATGATGTGGAACAACTACTATAAGGGGATATTAAAAAACAAAACAAACAAACAAAAAACTAAACCAAAACAAAAAAACACACCAAACAAACAGAAAAAAAGACCATAACAACCAAACCCCTAAAGCTGATGAGATCTTTTATTCCTTTTTTTCCTCTGCTCTAGCTGAGTTAGGGACCTGTCTCACAGCAGTGAAAGGTGTACTTGCTAGCTGTACATTCAAGCAGCTTTTCTTTTTGTAAGGGATATAAATGTTTCCTGTGGAAAGAAAGTATGGAATAAGAGTAGTTCTTAAATTAATGACTTATTTAATTTCCGGTCCTGAAAGCTTCTAAATACATTTTTATTCAAAAATATAATCCCCTTGACCTAACCAAGCCAAATCACAGAAGGGAAGTTATACATAAAGCATTATAATTCAAAGGGTTAGAGCTTTAGGCTGTGTTACCATTTGATGGTATGCTGTGAAGTGCTTAAGGTTGTTTATAATAGTACAGTCATACAGACAGGTTCTGTTAACAGAAAAAAACACATTTTTGTCCTTCAGGGACCATGGCATGAAGATATCTGTGATTTCATCATTATCTGAGAAACTTGTTTGTGGTTTTAATTTTACAGCAGAAGTTCATTCAGCTACAGGAGGACAGGCTAAAGGTGTTTCACCAACCCCTGAGCTCAGTGGCTGGCAGTTGGCAAACCCTTCTCTGCCTCCTGAGTTGAAAAAGCCCAGTGGCATCATGGAGCCTGAACAGTTCAACAGGCATTTGCTGTTACGAAGGAAGAGATCCATTTTGTTTCCCAGTGGAGTTAAGATCTGCCCTGATGAATCTGTTGAACAGGCTATTGCCAACCACCTGAAATATTTCAGGCTCAGAGGTAAGTGACTGTAAATCCCATGGGTGTAAAGAATATTTATTTATTAAAAAAAAAATAGATTAAGCTTTTGAACACAGTAAATACCAGGCCATAGGAAATACATCATTACCTGAGAAATTTAGTTTTCTGTGGTAATCTTCCTTAAGAGGGCTGTTCTGAGCTAAAAACCCACCTTCTGGTTACACTGATATATAAGAAGTCTGGGTCCCTGGAACCACAGTGTTTAATAAACAAATCCTTTCTCACAAAACAATATGAATGCTGAGAAAAACAAGGTTTTAGCAGATTATGCAGGCTGGCTATATGACTCTTTTTATTTAGTATTCTTCAGGTGCTAGCAGAATTCACTGAGGAATCAGAAGAGTCAAATCTGAGACATTGGTGTATTAACCATGTTACTTTTGACTTTGGCTGGTTGCACAAAGCATAGTATGTTCTGTCTAGAAAGCCAATCTCTGTGTATCAGGCTGTAGTGTAATAAAGAAGCCTCTCATTTAAGATGTGGAAGCTGGACAGAGCTTTCCCTGAAAAGTTGAAATATTCTTTCACTTGATGAAATATTACGGCAATATGATGCACCTCAAACCCTTCTGGCTGACAGCACTGGAATGGGGTGTCACAGTCATGCAGTACCTTCTGGTATTTGTGTGTCTTTGTATTGTAGCATTCAAAAAGTTTGTAGTATCTTAACATTTGTACGTAACTGGCAAAATGGCAAAGAGGTGCTGCCACAGGAGGAGGAAAGATGTTCAGAGACTCATTTTTAGTGAGACTTAATGGCCTATAGAAGAAACTCTCACTCGTAACAGTTTATTCACTTAGAGAAGTAAAAAACAATTAGAAGCAGGAGTTATTAATTGCCTGCATAAAAGTAAACATAAAGAATATACTTGGAGGACGAAGTGGAATTATATGAGATTAGAGCCTCATTCAAATATGAATTATGCCCAGCTGGCAAGGGATGTTGGCATTGATGATCATGCTGGCAGTTTGACAGGCTTTGCCAGCTTCCTATTTATTTCCACCCAATAGCACTCAATCATTCTTTGTTTTGCCCCTACTTAATCCATGCATACTGTGTGCTTTAACTGCAATCACTCCTCAGTTGTCCGTGGTATTGGCACATAAGGACAATATCAAGTAAGGAAAAGTGTGGGTGATAATAAAGAAGAAAAATCTGTAAATTATGTTGTAAAAGTGTATATAGGACTTAATGATCCTAGGCTGAACCAAAAATCCACCTAGTCCATCTGCTTCCTTAGTGGACTTAACAGCTTTCACAATCCGCAAGGATTTCTTGAGCCCGGATGCCATGGCAACCCTAAGCACTTTGAACTTAAAACTTTTGAAAAAGGTATTTGCAAGTAGCACAGGTGACCTGAAGTAGCAGCTGGCGGAGCAAGATCTGGTTCAAGCAACTTCTCATCTTCATTTTGATAGGAGTAGCACTCTGCACCATGTTTGGGGGTGTCTAGTTAATCACATTCTGAGTAAATGCGCCTGAGGTATGTGAGAGCTGATGCGCTGTGTGACAGGTTTGTGTGGCAAGGTTTTGGTAGAAGGAGGCTTCTCTGAAAGTTGCCAGAAGCTTCCCCCATGTCCAGTAGAGGCAATACCAGCTGGCTCCAAGACAGACCTGCTGCTGGCCAAGGCTGATCCCATCAGCAACAGTGGCAATGCCTCTGGAGTAACATATCTAAGAAAGGGAAAAAGCTGCTGCAGAACAGCAATTGCAGTTGAAGAGAATAATGAGAATACATGAGAGAAACAGCTCTGCAGACATCAAGGTCAGTGCAGAAGAAGGGGGAGGAGGTTCTCCAAGCCCTGGCACAGAGATTCCCCTGCAGCCCATGGTGCAGACCATGGGGAGGCAGGATGTCTCCCTGCAGCCCATGGAGGTCCACAGGGGAGCAGAGATCCACCTGCAACCCAAGCAAGACCACACACCATAGCAGATGGGTTCCTGAAAGAGAGGGTGTGACCCTGGAGCAAGTTTGCTGGCAGGACTTATGACCCCACGATGGACCCACACTGGAGCAGCCCATTCCTGAAGGACTGTGTCCCATGGAGGGAACCACTCTGGAGCAGTATGTGAAGAGCTGTGGTCTGTGGGAAGGACTCACATTGGAGAAGTTCATGGACTGTCTCCTGTGGATGGAACCCCATGCTGGAGTAGGGGAAGAGTGTGAGGAGTCCTCCCCCTGAGGAGGAAGGAGTGGTAAAGACAGCTGTGATGAACTGATCACAGCCCCAATGCCTCACCCCCCTGTACCACTGCAGGTGAGGAATGAGAGAAAACCAGAAGTGAAGTTAAGCCTGAGAAGAAGGGAGAGGTGGGGGAAGGTGTTTCAAGATTTGGTTTCAGTTCTCATTGTCCTGCTCAGATTTGATTGGTAATAAACAAATATCCCCAAGTTGAGCCTGTCTTGCCCATAACAGTAACTGGTGAGTTATCTCTCCCTGTCCTTTTCTTGACTCACAAGCCTTTTGTTGTATTTTCTCTCCTCTGTCTGACTGTGGAGGGGAGTGATAGTGCAGGTTTGGTGGGCACCTGGTGTCCAGCTGGGGTCAACCCACCACACATGGTACTTTTGTTCACAGTAAAACTGTTTCTTGCGTGTTACTGAATTATATACAATATTTTTACTAACTAGCTGAATCACCACAGTCCTGTGTCAACAAAATAGTCCTAGGAAAGAGTGTGGTCACTGTTTAGCACTGAGACCAGCTACTGTCAGTGACTAGTAAAATAACTGACCGCAAGGGGAATAAATATGCATGTACACAAAATCTGCTGATTTTTCAACCCCAGTGTGTATTTTTAGAATTGTCTTTTTAATCTGTATCTGTTCAAGTAACAAATTACTTCAATCTCCCATACTTTCTCTGGAAAGGATGGTTTCAATACAGTCTATTCTTGCCTTGTTTTGGTTTTACTGTCAGCAATAAACAGTGCCACTACCTTGGAAGGAAAGGTCGATTTGCTGTTTTGCTGTAAGATCTCGTTAGAAAAGCAGAAAAGGTTTGCATGTGCCGATTATCCAGATTATGCTTGTTCTATCTATGTCTACCTTAGAAGGAAACAGGTGGGAATATAATTATCTACCTGTACCTTCTAGCTTTATTTACTTTTGCTAGCTGGCAAAAGCCTCTGTGTCAGAGACTGAGAGATGAGCACTTCTGTCACAGGCTTTAAGGAAGTGCTTATGACGTATTGCTGTAGGCTTAACAGCTTTTTTTTTTTTTCTGACTACAACATCTGGATTTCAGATAGTGAGTGGGCTGTGTATGATAATATTTATTACAAATAATCATGTTCTTTACTGCTGACAGGGAAATGGTAGCCTGGGCCCCAGTTAAATAACATTTATTATACAAAAAGTAGCAATACCCACTCAGACCAAAAATCTGCCATGACCAGTCACCTTATGTAGACAATTCAGTGAATCTGTCCATTCTCTGTTGTGTAAATTCCTGGTAGATGGCTGAGGATTATACTAAATTTAGAAGGTGAATTAGCAGGTTAAACAGAAACAATATAAAGATTACAAAATAGCATGACTTGTACTGTTTCCCTGTTCCATGCCTGTTAATTGGGTAAAACGGAGGCTGCTGGATTCTGCTGGATTTTAACACCATGGTTCAGGGTAATACTGCTTCTCTTTGCCTCCTCTGAGATGTAATTACTCTGGTGGCTACCTTTCCTAAATTCTGCTAGCTACTTTTCCTACTGTGACCCTCTCAAACTATTCAATGTATGCTTGTGAGGGAGTTCATCTTTTCACATGAGTAGATCAGATAGTCTCTTTGCCAGAACTGTTTTTATCAGCCAGAGCTTCAGATAAAGTTGAACATCTGAGGATAGCTTTTGAAGATACTGACCAAACAAGGAAAAAGAGGGCATTGTAGTGTGTCATAGCTGATGAGACACGAGGCGTTTTTGAACTTTGAAAAGAGTAAAAGCTGTTTCTCAGGAATTAAATGCTATATATGATTATAATCCCTAAATTTGGTCATCTTGGGCATAGCACTATGCTTGCTCATCTTCCCATTTCTTGGGTTCCTTCAAATCTGTTTACTGAAGCATTCGAAATAATGTTATCTTCTGCACATGGACAAAGTAAAGTTTCCATTTGATACTGAAGTCCCAAATGTTATAGATTATTCAGATCTTGCTAATAATGATAAAAGCAAACAGTTAAAAGTCATAAAAAGTACCTGGCTAAAAAAAAAAAAAAAAAATCAATAAATAAAGAATCTGGCTGAGCGAACCTTTTTTCCCCGTTTCCCCCTCATCCCTGGCACATATCATGCATAGCTCGTACTCTGCAATGAATTTCTGATGTTTATTTGTAGAAGGACTAGTTCTTTCTCCCTCTGCATTTGAATTTTTAGATGTCAGCATATGCTTCAAGAAGCTTGACTTTTTCCATGAGGAACACTCCTTTGTTGTTACAAACTATTTTCACCAGTAATATTTCAGTAAACTAGAGATTAGTATGTTAGTGTTCAAAGAAAAAATCTTTCATGTAGATTAGCTAATTCACATTCAACTCCTTGTCAATTTAATATCCTGGTGGGTTTTATAAATTGTTTAAGGGTTGCTGTGTTATAGGCCATAAACAGTAGCATTTCAGCAACAGATGAGTCATTTCTCTGCCTGTGTGTATTAATTTGTTTAACAAGTGCTTATGAAGTCTTTGCAGGGAAGACCTCTCAGGAGGTGTCTGTCACTTTAGTCTTTATCAAGCCTTTCTGCAATTAAGCCATTCCGTTGTGCAGAAATTGTTAGAGAGGAGGAGTTGTTGGTCTCATGTTGCCTCAAAATAGAATTTTCAGCCTGATTCAGTGCTCCTAGCCACCCTACACGATTCAACTCTTAAGAAGCACTAATGAGATTTAACTTGGATTACATTCTAGCACTGCCCACTTACACCAATGGCCAGAAAGCCACCCTACCCCCTGCAGGGTGCTCAGTGCTGTCATGCGGTGCCCCTTCTGTTAACCTCAGAAATCCCTGAGCACAGACTGTCTGTAATAGGCTAATTGTCTCTGTTTGAGAGATAAATGCATCCCCAATGGTAAAGCTTGAACCACAAGAATGCTGTGTCCTACCCAGGTGCATGAGAGGTGTAACCATACTGGAGAATTTCAGAGAGGGTGAGAGGGATCATCTCATCACATCACAGATCTTAGCTGGTGGCTTTGAAAACAGCGATTAAGTCATTACGAAAGGAAGCTTGAAATAATTTTTTTTCACCCCTTTCTGCATATTTCTAGGCCTGAAAAGAGCTTGTACCTGCCTATGTGGAACTTTTTGGGCTGAAACACAACTATCCTAAGCTTTTCAGGATATTCTCTATTATCTGTGAGCATCACTTGAGTGTAAACACTGCGTTTGAAGGAGATAAGCTCCCAAGAGCTGGGCTTTTCGCCTTTTGAATCAGATATGCTAGCGGACAAGTCACATGGTCTTACAACATGTCCAGCTTTCTGAATCAGCCTTTGAAACCTGTTATGGCCTTTAAAGGTCAAGACATTGCCTACTTTAAGTGTTTGTGACACTTGGCTCAAGTAGAAGTTTGCACAAGGGCATGGACCAAACACTCTGGTCTTTCAGTTTTCTCCTGTCTCCTCTCTCACTTTGAAGATGATTATCTAAGTGATGAGTTGACTTCTGATTTCTGAGGTTTTTCAGGATGGAGTACATGGAAAATCTAGTACGTGCATACAAAGTGTACTTTGGAGACAAACTGCAGAACAAGCCATATGATTTGCATTTCTGGTTTGAATTCTGGTTTATTGTCCCAGTCAGTTATATGTCTTCAGCCAGCATACCTGTTTCCTTTCCTGTAGTCAATTGAAATGGTCACATTCCTGCGGCAGGGGGCCTCTCTTTATATCATAAGCCTTTGTTTCTTTAACATTTGAATTATTCAGAGGAAAATTGCAAGGTAGCCAAGAGATCACTTAACAGTAAAATACAAATTATTTCTTGCTACAGCCATGGGATGAAGGAAGCAATTTTCTAGAGGAGCTTCCCTTCCCATCTACAAGTAGGTTCAAGACTCTTAACTCACTTCTTTAAAAGATTGATCTTGATTTTATGATTCTTTTAATCAGTTTTGTTTGCTGGGGATTAAAGACCTCATCGCAAATCCTGTCTCCTCCAGGGCCTGGTGCTGCTAATGCTGTCCCGCATATCTGTGCCCGTGGTCAGCCCTGTAACAGGCTAGTGAAAGTGTGGCATGAAATCTAGCCATGAAGACCGGCTCTTCACACATGCCCTGAGGGCTGATCTGCTGCTCAGGTGGCATGTGGCAATGCTGCTGGGTCTGCTCAGCAGTTCCTTCCCGATGCTGGCAGGGCTGGCTGCTTGGTTGGTTGTTTTTAAGAACGTCATAGCTGGTCGTAGGAACGCAAATCCTGGAAAGATCATAATGCAAAGCCTGCTCAACAGCTTCAGTCACAACTCTGAACTGTTGGGCTCCTGGCGATTTGTTGTAAGCTCTAATAAGGCAATGTTTCTTCCATTCCCTATCGACTTCAAATGTTTTATATTTAAAAGTCAAAGTTACATTTCTAATTAAAAAGTTTATGGGGTAAATTGTTTGGTTCCCTCTGAGACTCATTTTCTTTCACTTTCTCCTTTGGTTTCAAGGAGTTTTTATTTTAAATCTTAGTCAAAAGCTGGTTCACATATTGTCAGCATATGTAGACAGTGTATGTGACACAGATACTGACAAGTTTCTGGAACGTCAGAAAGAAAAGATAGTGAGTTATTTTTCTACAGTAAGCTATAGCTATTTACTGAAGCTTTCAGTAAAGTCTTTTTTAACTCTATGGTTTTGTGCTTCAACTTTTGTCTATAGAGTCTCAGAATGTTTAAAATCTAGTTAATGAAAAACGTGTTTTTCTTATATGGGAGTTAGCAAGAACTTGTTGATAAGAAATCTAGAAAAACCTCCCTAGCAAAGAAAAACTAAAAACTTAGGTAGTCGAAAACCCATCACAGGGGTGGGCTCCGCCTTCAAGTTAAAAGCTGCTTAATCACATTTATTAGGTGACTTGAGTGCACTGTGAGCATGGTGTCTCTTCAGTTCCCTGTGTGGCCACTTCAATGAAGGTGGCTCCTAGCTTCAAAGAACCAGCTCCTTTTTTGACCTATCTGAAGCAGAGATGGAATTGTGCTTGTCTCTTTCTGTACATGTGCGTGATCTGAACCGCACCAAATAAACTGTGCTGTTCTTTTTCTGTACTTGGAATGGCAACTCTCATCTAACTACGAAACAATCAAAACATTTATGAGAAAGACTGAATCAAAATTGTTCTTTTTCCCTAGCCAGGCTATGACTTTGTTCTTGAACACCATATAGGTAAACCCATCTGGGGATGGTTTTTGTGTTGAGCCCTTTCAACCTGGATTTGTTATCCTGTAAAGCAGTCCCCCACTTTACAAACTGGCCAGTTGGAATAAATAGGACAATGACAAGATGGACTGTGTGTCAACAAGGTTGCAGGGTGAGTGTGTTGGCAAGCAGCTCATTGTGACTGAGGATGTGATTTCAAGTATTAAATGGCAGTTGTGGTAGACGTTTGTTTGCTTTTAATCCCTCCCTGTGTGTCAGAACTAACCCACTCTCATACTGCCCAGGAGGAAGGAATATGTCCACAGGAGTATTCAGGAATACAGAAGGAATTTGTACCATGTTGTCCAACTTGTTACTGCTCACCACAGTGGAAACAGCTTGGTAGGACAGGCTAGAGAAAACAAAATATGGCTCCTTATCCATGTCCCATTTCCTTCTTCCACAGAATACATGACTGTGTTCTGATAACTTAGGTCTAGTTAATGGGTTTGGAGCCCACAGATGGCACAAAGCCTTTGGGACTGGAATTCAGTGGGGTGTCTAATTCCAAATGAAAGGATACACAGCAAATCCTTAATCTGTTGGGAGCCGATTGAAACGACTGTTCATATGGGAGCAGCTTGTATTCAGGCAAGAGACTGTGTCATCACATTTATTTTAAACTTATTTAAGAGAATTAAGAAAAACTGTCTTCAATTACTTGCAACTGGAAAGCCAGTCCTTTGCCTGTTGCCCTTTGAAAACTGTAGGATTAGACAGTGTCACTGCAATGTGCAAGCTGTTTTGCCATAGTTTCAGTTCTTACTGACAGTCTGAGGATTTATCCTAGCCACAGGGAGTAATCTCATTCCAGGATTGTTGCTTTATAATGTTGCACCTGGAGTGAAAGATCCATTAGTCAAAGTGTAGGATACAAGTACCACCAAGTGAAATTAGAGGCTTCTAGATTTGATACTAGACTTCAGTCTTTTCCTGGGTGCCTAGCTCTTACAAGTGGGATGGTAGAGAAAATATTACAGATGCTTTTCTGCATCAGGAAGCTTATTAGTATTCCAGCAGGATCCAGAAATCCCAGAGCAGGATTATGGCTTCATTGCCTGAGATCTGTGCAGAGGTCATATGGAAATGTGGTCCCCGCTTAAAGAAGTTTGCAGGGGTAACTTGATATGAGATGGTGCGTAGATGCCTGTAAATTTGTTTCTGATTAATGAAGATGCATAAGTGAAGCTGATTGGGAACATATCAGTCCTTTCTGAATTACTGTGTTTTACAACTGCCTGTAGGGCTTCTGGAATAGTATTATACTACTGACAGTTGTTAATGCAGAGTTTGGGGACTGTTTTCTCTGGTCCTACATATCAAAGGCTGATCTCCACATAGGAAAGCTGTCAGGAGGGTGGCACAGAAATGAGAGATATCTGTGTATCTGCAGAGTTCCTCAATGGAGAAATGGTCTCAGCTGCTCTGGTAAACTAAAATTCAGGGTCAAAAAAACCACCTTTTTCTCCATGGTACCATCTAGTGTGCCAGAATCAACTAAGCTTTAAGGGTGCTACTGCATGGGAAACAGTTCCTTAAGGTAATTGTTTGTAAAGCCTTTGCATTTAAGAAAAATGTCTGTCTCTTGGTTGAATGAAAATGTTTCCATATGTGATCTGCATATTAAGTTTTACATACAGATGCACATACAAACAATTTTGGAATCCAGAATACAGAGTATCAGGAATAAAGAACAGTAAGGTACTGGTTTGGGCAGCCCAGAGCTAATTTTTAAGCTGATTGGAGAAAATGACTTTCTGAAAATAGATTCATGGCAGTCTCCTGTAGGGTTTTGCTTACGATATCAGGACTCTCCCGGAATGCAAAGCATTCCTCTGCTGAACTGTGTCTAAATAAGTAGTGAGATCAGATTAAGGCCAGAAAGCAGGTTTGTCTGCTACTACTCCAGCCTGGCATTTGTTGTGAGTGATTTTTAGAGTTCGCTTTTTAGTGTTGTCTCTTCTAGGACACAAGGAAAATCCTATAAATCTTCCTCTCTTCCAGTTATCCTGGGTCACAGAGAGGTTCTTGCTTCAGGGTAATGTGACCAACTGCTCTGATTGCCAAAGAGCACATGCCAGATCAAGATGGGGAGGTTAAAGCAACCAGGGTAGTACAAGATAATTTAACCTTTAATTCTCAGTCTGACTATTCAGAGCTGTCCAGTTTTTTCTCAGTGGATATATACAGTAGGGTTAGAGCTTGCCTTATTTCTTAGCATATTTTTTTCTCTCATCATCCTGCCTTGGTTTTCAAGTTATTAATGCAACTATAATTCCTGAAACGTATTTTAAGTTCTGTGTAAAGGTGAGTCCCAAGGAATTGTTACTCCTTGAGCCTCTAAAACTTCGAACAGTGCCACTGTCATTCTTAGAAATTAAGTTCCAGCTCTACTTTCTGTGAGGACATTTGCCATACTGCTTTGATTTTCTAAGTTTTCTAATTTGACCCATTGATCAAAGGGCAATTTCACTCAGTGAAAATATTATTGTTCTTGATGGTTGTTAGGAAACAAATGGTCTTGCATGCTCTTTTCTTCCCTCCCCCCCCCCTTTAATTTTCTTTATTTACCTAAGTAAAAAAAAAAAAAAAAATCAGGGAAGGAAGTAGTATGAGCACGGAAGATTCACCAGATCTTCATTGTCAGTCCCTTCAATGCCTTACACATTTCCATGAAGTGTCAGGTCACTGCATTCTATGTATTAATGTACTGACAAGCATACAACGTTCGGACAATGGCTACTCGTACTGTGGAAGCACTCCTGTGTTAACTAACACCAGACCTTTCTTGTGCCTTCAGTGTGTCAGGAAACAGTCTGGGAGGTCTTCAAAACATTCTGGGACAGGCTGCCAGAGCGTGAAGAATATAATGCCTGGATGAGCCTGTGTGAGGAAGGAATGATGAGTATCTTTGAAATGGGCACAAACTTCAGTCAGTCTGAGGAGCACCGGAGTCTGATTGAGAAGGTGGGTACAGCACCTGCTTGGTGTTCCCTCACGGGTGAGAGCATGATGTCCCACTGCAGTGTGGAACTTGGCATATCACAGGCAGCAATGTGGGGAGCCCTTCAAATGAACAGGCATGAATATTCCAGCTCTTGGATCCATAGTTCTGAGATCAGTTTCAAAAGTTATGACTGATCTAATGGAGGGAGAAGCAACAGCGATGAAGAGACTGTTGTCTTCCATAAGGATGTTCCTGACAAGTAGATGGTGTCTGACCCCTTGTCTGAAAAGGCAGCATGACACGGGTCAGGTTGTGGCACATTTCCCCCTGTGACATGTATCAGCCTTCCTGCTCTGAGCTGCATGCTGAGATGCTTTCCGTCCAACTGGCACTTGGAAGCAGGAAGCTCTGAGCTGTATTTCTGATGCTACCAAGACATATGATAAAATTGCCTGTTTGTGGTGTCTGCACACTGCTGCCTGACTGAAATGATAGTACCTAAAAAAATAAAAAACTTTGGTGTCCTATGAAGGCAATTGATAACATTGTCGTCGTGGAGAGTTGCAGAGGTTAAAATCAGGGTATGAGTGTAAAACAAGGTAATAAAAAAAATGCTGAATATCTTGGAATTATTGTCTATTATTTCAATTTGAACAAGCTTATTTTACCTTAAAGATGACAAAAGGGGCATTAAGCCAAACTAAAGAACCCTACCTCAAATAAAACACCAAGATGTATTTTCAGGAGTTTGTGAATTTTAAAATTAAGTGCTTAACTTTGCATTCATCTAAGATACAGTAGATAGCTTAATTTTTCAGGATAAAAGGCTGTCTTAAAACTTATGGTGGCTTATGGACCTTCTTTAAGATTAGAGTGTCTTCTACTTTTGAAAGCTAATGGATGAGTAGTTTCATGAAACTTATAGTAAGTCTTAAATGTGTGATCCCATAGAATCACTAATTTTCAGCCAGTGTGGACATGCTGAATTTTTTCCCTTCTGTTCTTCTATGGACTCATATGCTAGGAATGTGCACTAAGGAATGTGAATATGGAAACTGCTGTGGATAATGGAAACAAGGTGGTTTTGTGTTTTTTTGTTTTGTTTTGTTTTGTTTTTCCTGAGCATGCATCTTAGTCTTTGTAGGTGATGCCAGCCAGTTTACTTCTGTGATGTCTGATGATGCTGTTGTCCTTAGAAGACTTTGCAAAAAGAATGAGAGAAATAAAATTAATTTGATTTTTTTAATGTGTACAGTGCATATATAATTGTTTTATGTTAGATTTTGACAGTAAGATGATCTGTAGTGGGAGCATATTAAAAGAAGTCAAGATGACTCTTGCAAAGAGAGTGATGTATCTAACCTCCCACTGTTGTTCTACATTTTTGGGCATGGCTCTGCAGCATTACAGTGGAGTCAGATAAACTGTTCTGTGTTTGATGGTCTTTTCAGGTGGTTTATGTGTAATTTAGGTTTCCTTTCTCCTGTAGATGGATATATTCCTTTCAGCATTGCAATATTCTGGAAAAGGGCTGTTCATCCTTCTATTTGCTTTCAGCACAGTTGGTAAAAGGTGACAGTTGTTGGGCTGTTTTGATGTCAGCAGTAAGAGGGACTGAATGCTGTCACCACTGTGCTCCACATAAAATGTCACAAATCCGTCAGGTGACTTTTGTTGAAATAACCTGAGCTCAATTTAACTTTGAACCAGAGACTGAAGGCAGGAGCACTGTCACATCCTCCAGTCAGCCACCTTCAAAAGATCAAATGGTGTATTTTGAATACATAGGTCAGAGTGTGAGTTTAATTGCTAGCTCTAGTACTGACTCACCATTCTCATCTGTGCTCATGCACAAATTTTTTGTCAGAGTGTGAAACCTTTTGAAAGCAGTTCTGAGAATCTGAAGTTCAAACAGATTCCGTGAATACATCTCTGCTTTTAAGAACATCCTTCTTCCTGCCCTCTTGTTCTTTCCACTCTCACCAGCTAAACTCACCAAGTTGCATGGTCAAGCCTTTCCACTATTTGTGAGGCTACCATCATGTCACAGTGCACAGTACTCTGTGGTGTGCAAGTGTGATGCATTCCGTTGCTTAAAAGGAAGATTTACTTCTGCCTGGCACTGTAGAAAAGCAGCATACATAGCTAGCAGTAGTTTTTTTGTTTGTCCCTTACATGCCTCATTAAATACCACTTCTCTAATCTTCCTTTGCTCTCTAATGTCTGTAAATCATCTGTGGTTAATTTCAAGAGTTTAGTTTAGAGCATGCAGCTGATAAAAGTAATTCTGCTTTTCCTTTGGCATGTATGGCTGGTATAGCATTGCTGTACTGCCTCTTTTGTATTGGGCGTGTTGGCAGTTTCTGGCAGTCTTATTTCAGAGTGTCTTTTTGCATTACTTTTTGGTAGATAGCAACATGAAATTTAACTTTTAGATGTCCTGCGTGATGTGAATTCTCCCTTTCTCTCTCTCAAAAGAAATTCTGCATATCTGAAAATTAGGAAAAATAAATCTGTGAGATTTTCAAGCTGAATCTCTTTCCAAATCCATAGCAAAATGCAGCTTAAAGCATGATATTGGAGTGCTACCAGAGCAAAATTCTGTCTGCCCCCCGCATTTCCAATGTCAGCATGTATTAGGGTAAATCCATCTTTTGTGGCGGATTCCATGTCACAATTTCTACTTCTCCGGGCTTCAATCAAATTTCAGAAAATAAAGTTTTACTGAGTTGCTGTTCCTTATAGATCTGATGACAATCTACAATGACAAGACACTGAGAAAAGTGTCAAAAGGCATTTTGCCCAGGAATCCCCAAAACGGTGATGGGAGCTGCTAACTTACCAAAAGGCAGCCTGAAAAGCTCCTGGGACAGGATACAAACCCCACAATGGTGTTGACTCACCAGTACTTTTATTTTGCAGCCCATCAGTTTCAGAGTATTTGCAGCACAGACCAACTGCTCAGTGACAGATTAGGGTAAAAGGGGCAGAAGACTTAGGATGCCTGAATGGGTAGACCATTGTCCTTCTTTGTTTAATCACACAATATTCTGAGTTGGAAGGAGCCCACAAGGATCATCAAGTCCAGCCCTTAAGTGAATGGCCCATACAAGGTCAAACCCACAATTGTGGTGTTATTAGCACCATGCTTTAACCAAATGAGCCAATCTCAGGCTCAATCAAATGTCCCAACCACAGTTTGCAGTCCTTTACATTTTTTTCTTTGCACAGAACACCTCCAGATTCTTCTAAAGCTGGAGAAAAGCAGATCCTGTCTGCGCTTTCACACTCTCCATTCCCCCTTATGGATGCTAAAAAGAAATTCCCTTGCCCTCCTTGAGCCATAATGTTGGATTTTCTCCACCTTCTTTCTTATCCCTGCACTTACTGTTCTCTTATTGACTTAGACTCTTTTAATTACAAGGTTTAGCCTTCTCTAACTTCAAAGAAAACCCCATGACCTTTGTCACAAATAGAATAATTGCCTTTAGTTTTTTCTTCAAATCTTTCCTCATCTCTCTTCCATCTCTTAGGCAATTTCTCTGTTCCCTCTGTCTGGTCACTCTGCTCCAATTCCAACCTAAATCGTCCTTTCTGATCTCTGCTTTGCGCCTGATGCAGCACAAAAACTGTCAGCCATGAAGCCTGGGCTCATCTCTTTCCAGGCAGAGCTCAGAACCGATGCTTCATCCTCATCAACCTTGTCCAATCAGATCTTTTACTTTGCAGGTCTCTAGTTTTTCCTCATTTTCTGTATTTTGCTCTTCGTTTCTAGATAGCACTGCCTAACACACACTGAAGAATCAATTCTGTGTTGGAAGTTCACCTTTGCTGTGGAGCTGGTTCCTTCTGGACAGACTGAAACCTTAGCTTGTTTCTGACACCTTTCCATGGATCTCTAACCTTCAAGTTGAACATGGTTAAAACAATATCTGTTCCACTAAGATGTCCCTGTTATCTCTCCTCTTACTGTAGACCATATTTTTTTTTACCTTACTGTTAGGGATGTGCCTAGGGAGGGAGCCCTGCTCCCCATTCTTTCTTTCCTTCCAATTTCAGTTCTGGACATTGTGATCCATTTCCTTGAATTATCCCCAGTGCTGTGGCCTTGTCTTTATGAGAACATGGTTCTGTCATGTACCATGATGGGACAGGCAGACAGAATCATTTCTTGGTATGACTTTCCTGTTGTAAATGAAGTGTATATGTGGTGTTAAATCAAATATGCTTGGTACAATACTCGACAGATAGGATTAAACTAATATGAGATTATTTCAGACCTCCTTGACATTTCCTCCACCTTTTTCTCCTTCCTGGGATTACCTCCAAGATATTTTGTCTTCTGTGCATAACAACTGTCTCTTAGGATCAGGCTAGAGTATCCTATATAATTGCTTTTCTGCAAGTTACATAGGTTGACAAAAGCTCATCCAGTTGGTACCATATGTGATTTGTGGTATTGTGGTAGCTTGTATTCAATGCTCTGGACTTGTATTAATTGCATTATATAAAACTAACTGTTGAGGAAGGGGAGCACTAGTGCAACTGCCACACAACTCAGCTCCCAGCTTTACAAGAATTGGTATAATAATGATGTTAGGAAGAGAACTAATTTTGTACAAAGTATCTGCCAGAGGTAGCTTCACTCAGTAAAAGCTCCCTTTGAGCTTTGGTGTGGCTGCTGCTGTTATTTAGAGCTATTTATAGATCATTTCCAGTATTCAAGTGTAAAGACATTAACTAATCTTCGCAGGTCCCTATGCAGGAGGTGTGTTTCTAACTCTGGCTTCTTAGTGACGGAACTGAGTCAGAGAGTTGAGGTGTTTTGGCAAAGGCTACTCTGAAGTAAATGAGAAACAAAGCCAATATTAGCACTCTAGAACCTGTGTCTTCTAATTAGGGGAAAAAGGTGCCTGTTACAATGAAGTTGAAGTACGTCAGTGCTTGCCCCCACCCCAAACTGGAATGCAAATTGGACCTTTAATAGAGGAAGACAGTCACACTACAAACTATTGCAGACCGTGCTGGTTTAGCAATAGGGAATGCTTCGTTTTCACATCCTATCCTGCATTTATCAATACAAAAAACTAGTCTTATGTTTCAGCCTGTAGGACTTATCCGAAATGTGTGAATCTGTTTTTCAGTCCTCTGTAGACTGTAAGAAGCTGAAGACTGGGTATTCAGATCATACTTTCCTTTCAAATTTACTGTAAATGCTAAGATTGTACCTGTGGCATAAAGCTGCAAGGTGGTAATTGTCTGTGTGCAGGCTTTGCATTGGCATATGGGTTTTGATGGGTGATGGTCATACTTTTATCAACTCATTTGTAATTCAAATTTTATACCTTCTTTTTTTTCAATAGATTTACAGCATTATATAGCAAACAAATATGAAGTGATAGTTTTTACCATTATTTTGCAAAGCTGCTGTTGAATCCAGGGGGATATTTCATATGAGAAAACATGGTAAAAAGTCCAGTCATTCAAACAGTCATTTAAAGAATGTAATCCTTTAAAGGTGTTTTATTTCATGAAATGTGTGATTTGCAGTGGAGAGAGAATATTCTGTCCTGAACTAGGTGAATTAAGGAAAGTCCAGCTACCCTATGCAGAGGCAATAATTCACAGGCAATCATACAGTACTAGGCTGTGCTAGTTTACTGCAAGATTGGATGAGAATTCAGTAATTTGATGCCCTCTCAAAAACATAAATGTGGAGATGGTGTGTAACGTTTGTTATTCTAGGCCTTGGCCATTTAAAATAATAATTTGACATTTCAGATTTGACTCTTAGAAGTTCATCTTATAATTCACGGAATAGATAACTTGGAAATAACAAGATATGTTGGTTAAGTCCAGGAACCCAGGCTCAGGAAATCTGGGAGCCCCCAGCTCCTCAGACTGCCCTGCAACAGAGTTTTCATCCATGCACCCTTCACTGGGGTGTCTTGCTTTAAGAAGTGCTCAGGATTACACTGACCTCTGCTGTCAGTGACCTTTGAGGACCTGTGAGTAAAGCTGCTGGATACAGACCAACAGGCAGTATTGATAAGATGTGTGAGGCCTGTAATAACCAGGATTGTTTTTAATAGCACCTACAAACCGTCTTGACTGCCTGAGCAAGTCTCCTTTTCTAATGGACAAACACTTTGAACTGTATGAGCTACTACTTATAGGTAACTTTCCAAAATCTTGTAGCGAGGGAATCAGTCTCTCTGTTCCTTGTAGATCCCCGTGCACTAAAGGCTGAGTACAAGCACTTTATAGAGCAGTGCATTGACCCCTTAAAAAAACATCCAAAGTCCATTACAGCTTTAGTGGCCCCAAGTTAGAGTTTTCACTTTAGACTACCTAGTTTCTGTGTTTGTCACTTAAAACTACTTTTTCATACTAAAGTATCTCCAAATGCTTCATTTAATGGACTTGTACAATAAAGGTTGGTCAAAGAACATGCTAAAGAGCAAACTGACTGAACTTTGTATTTTGGCAAGCCCTCTTCAGGCTGATACCCAAGCTGCCTGCCATTCTAGCTGTGATCACACTTCATGTCCACAGATGTCCCAGAAAGAAGAGAAGAGTAGTCAATGACATGGCTCCAAACCAACAATGACTGAATTTCTACACTTCCCTAGAAATACAGGTGAAGAGAATGAACAGGCTACCCTGTTCAAAAAGTCTCTTTTGCCTTTTCACCCCTCCTTCACAAGAAGAGCGATCAGGATAGCTTGGAGTGACAGTCCTCAGGTCTCTAAATACATATGGGTGTTTTGCAGAGAAGTTTTCAAAGTGGCAATGGTAGGTGTTAAGTTTATTGTAATTTAATTTCAAAGGAGAATACTTGAGTTGATCCACTCTATGTTATTTTTACTGAAAAATATATCTGCATTGATCATAGAAAGAAAGCTAGCCCAATAAAAACTCTGCCAAACAATCCCTCCCCCCAACTAAAATAGAGAAGAAATTTTTTGGCAGTAATTTTCTATAAGTATTTTATATTCTGTTCACATTGGTACAGCAGCAGGATACAGCATTATTTCTCAACAGCTATTGTGCTGCAAACTACTGAGGATCTACTCCACTTCTTGTGGCATTCCTCCCAGAATCTCCTGTGACACTTATCCAGAACCAATGGCACTAATGCCATAAGAATTTTGATGAAAAAACATGAACTTCATAGTTCTGTTTAGTCTTTATACACCAGTACATGAAAAAATTTCATCCCTGTCACTTGTATAACCGTAAACTAAGTCATCAGATTAATCCTCCTATGTTACTTTAAGATGTAACTGTACTTTCAAAAGATGGTTTTAAATCTGTAGACAAGTAGCAGAAGTAACACTGTATTTCTGAAGACTGCTTGCTTAAAAGGATCTTGTTACTGACCTCCTCTGGGTTGAGAGAACGTTGTACCTAGAGGACAATGCAAGACAATGCAGAAACGCAGAGCATCTCTGACAAACCGAGTACCCTTTATACTGTCTGATGTTGAGTTTCAGCTGTATTTTGGAAATGTAGGACATTTTCTTTTCAGTGGGGACTTGGTTAATAAATTTTGAACTTAACAAGTGAAAACACAGAGAATAGAATTATTTTGGCACAGAGAAGGAAATAAAGTGTAAACTGCATTTCAATTAATTTCACTTTATCTTACTCAAATATAATTAGGATTTGTTTGATTTTTTTTTTTCCAGAAACTGTCCTATATAAAGGAGGCAATGGGCAGGTGAGTGTCTGTGTTCTCCTTGCATTTTATTGTCTCTGGAAATAACAACTGGAGTTGTGACATTTTGTAACCTCTTTTCTTTTCATTGCCAGCTCCTGCACTGATTGGGCATGTGGGTAAGTAGGCTCCTGATAGGTTGTTTCTCTGTTTTTTGCTGCTGCTGGAGTTAGTTTGTGCACTGAAGATGAGTAAAATTCACCGCATATAGAAAAGTACAGTGGAGAAATCTGATAGTTCTTGCACGTCACCTCGTCCTGGCATGCTTGGCACGCTCAAAATATCTCAGCCAATCTGGGGCTTGTATGTCTGCTTAAGTATGTCATCACCTTGTTGGCCATCAGGCTGTCAGGCTATTTACCTGAAGAGGTTTAGATGGGGAAATCTATTTTGGGAAAAAGATGTCTCCGCAGTTACTTGCGTTAGTGTTCTGGTTATCCTGCAAACCTTTCCCAAAGGCTTTCAGGTAGTTCTAGTCCTTGTTGCAAAAAAGCCTAAACACAACAAACAAACTAACAAACAAAGCTTTGAAATGCTCTTTTAAAAAAACTTCTGAGAGATGTGCTCTCAAAACGGTTACAAGGCAATTAGCTGCTTGGACTCCTCACAGTTTTAACAAGGCAATAAACCTGAAAACTAGCCTGATTCGTGGCTTCTTTGTACCAAAGCAAACCTGAGCTTGATCTGTTATTTTCACGTCTTTTCTAACTGAACAGAAAAACAGTCCAAATTTTTATTGCTTCTTTCCTACTCAGAACTTAATCTAAGCTGTTATTTTTAGGACAGTTCAAATCCAAACAACCTGGTGCTTAACTCATCTGAAAAACTGGCATGTTCAATTCCTTGTTTACAGGCTACATAAAGATATGAGTAATTAATTTACTGGGAAAAATAATCACTTGAGAGAATTTTAAAACAACCCTCAGCTTCCCAAATTAGGTATCCTCATAATGATTTCATAACAACACTGTATTTTAAAATTATTAACATGAGACGATAAGGGTGATTCCTAAAAGGTTGGTTTCTCTCTGTCCCGTGGAGCTGAATGCTCCTTTGACAAGAGCACTCCCCAAAGCTTCCAGGTCAGCAGGGTAGCATACATCTGTTCTGAAGAAGTGTGAGTTTGAAAACCTACTGCATCCATCCGTGTGATCATTCAGGAAATCTAGTAAATGTAGAGATATACAAGAGGAATTGGAGTCACTGTATGCACTGGGCTAAACAACAGAGCAGTGCAAAAAGCCCAACATTTTCAAGGTGGATCAGAGTGATTGATGTTGTACAAAAGCCATCTTACCAAGTGTTTTTTGGCAAGCATTAAAGGGGCTTCAGTAGACAATTCTCAGACTTTTCCAACTCAGTTCACTGTGGGACTGTATTGCATCTTTCTCAAAAATACACTGCTTTTATCCCAGTATGTATTGCTTCAGACTGTTTATAGCTTTAGAATGGGATCTTTATAATCACCATCAGTTTAGACTTTGGTTTTAATATATCTTTTCCTCTAGAAGTTGTTGTTTGTCTTGTGCTTGGAAATTGTAGTGGCTTATAGCATAAAGAGCATGATACAGGACTGAAGCAGTGACAGAAACAGGTAGATTTGCTCTGGGTGATGGAGCATCAGAAAGAAGTTAATATAAATTATTTTGGTAATATTAAACTTATTCTCAGAACATTCTGGACATCTTAGAGCATTTCTGGGTTAAGATGTGAAGTTTGTAAGCCAGAGCTGTATAAAAAACAAAGCCATTGTTGGTTGTCATGGGTAGACATCTCCTCTAACTTCAGGTATCTTCCATCAAGAGTAGTAAGTGAACCACCTCAGTACTGCCAACAGCCAGTGTTATTATTTCCTGCAAAATTAACCTCCAACTACACATCAGAATAAAAGGAAGACCTTTTAAAAATGTTCTGTAAGAGTCAGAGTAAGTACCCAAACCAGAATCACCACCAGCAGTGTGCAAAATCCAGTGTCAAGTCCCTCCTGCACAGGAGGAGAGGTGAGTGTGATTCTGCCATTTCTTGGGCATTGCTGTCCTCGCCTGCTGGCACACACGTGCGGAGAGAGGTTTGTCCAGTGTGCAGGGCAATGCTGGGGTTTGAATGTGGCTGACTTGCCACCCAGCTGTGTCATCTGTGCCAGAATGGGCATCTGTTCTGGCCTCATCTCAAGGGATGGTAGGGCTGTCCTAAATATCTAGATATCCAGGGTACGATACATATCGAGATATCCAGAGGAGATGTTCAGGTGAGGTACATCCATTGCCAGGGAGGATCAGGTTACTCCAGGTGATGTCTAGCAGGAGTCTTTGCCTTGTCCTCTGGTGAGCTCCGGTCTCTCTTCAGTCACTTCACTTTGGAAGCCTGGCACCAGGCAGATTTTTTAGTCTGTTTTCCCACTGATAAGAGCAGGAAATTTTACAGTAGAGGTTCATGTTCCAGAGCATAGCCCCCACAAAGAAACTAAGAGAGTATTATCTTTTTATGAGACTTAACCAATCTACTTTTTCCTGTAAAACCTTCTTTCTTTGAAACAATTTCCTAATTTAGGTCTTATCTGGAATGGAAGACAGGCCCTTGATATCTGCTGATCATTTTAACTGTACTACTAGGTCATATCAAAACTGCACTGGCAGCTATAAACAGCTATAGAATTGAAGCCCCGACTTAAATAATTTGATACAACTCATACAATCCTAACTAGATGTCAGCACTGTGTCTCTAGCTGGAAAAATCTGATTCCAGCTAGTTCAGTGCTAGGATAGTTTTAATGTAGCCTACAGAAAGGTGTCTTATACTCTTCTAATAAAGTTCCCAGAATAACTCTCAATCTGGCATTACTGACAATTACGTAACAGCAGATGAAATTTGTTCCCGTAAGGTTAGTGCGCTTGTTCACACAGGTTAAACGCTCAGGTACCCTGGCCTGTTAAGGAACTGAGGGATTAACTGAGTACCACGGAGGAGAAAACCTCAAAAGGAAAGTAACATAATGGGACACAATCTATATGTGTACACAGCAGCCCAGTGGACATCGTGAAGGTTTAGTCCCAGTTGGAAGTGTGGAAGCGCTACATCAGCTAAAGATTTTTAATGATTGCTTTATTCAGTAGGCCATTGGGACTTTGCATAATGAAATTCTGTCTCTTAATGTTGGAGTGTGTGTCATGACAACAGGGCAGTCCTTTTGTCTAATTCCTGGGGGATCAAGAGCCAGATCTTGAGAATCAACCAAAGGCGAAGGAGTAGCACAGAATTGTTGCAGTAGAAAACTAGAGCTTTTGTGTCATAGCCTTGCTTGATTTCTGTAAGCACAATAACATACTGAGGAAAAGATCATTTGACAGGTTCAGAGTTGTTTCTCCTCAGTAACACAGTGTGGCTTCACATAAAGAACCTGTTTAGGCTCTGCAGTTGTCTTTGAGTCGATGGAACTCTGTATATGCTGGAATATGTGTATGTGGACTCTGTAAATGTGGACTGGAACATATCAAGTCCTATCCTGACATGACTGATGTCACATAGAATTACATACCATGGGGTTTGAAAAGAGGGGAATGTAGGCAGTCTTTGTGAACTGTGTTTGCTGTATTGAAATGTAGAGGCTGTCCATAAGCACTGTTTGCTTCAGATCAACTTCTGAGGCCCGTATGGATCTTGTCTTATGCTGGCCTAGATCCTGGTGTCTAACAGAGCTGTGTGATCTGAAACTGGTTGTTTCTCTCGAGGAAACACAAGTGCAGTGTTGTTCGTTCTGGTGCTTAGACAATCTGCTTGTGTGTATTCCTTCCTGCCTCTCCATACATATGTGTGTATTTTTATATTTTGCTTACTGCTCAGCCAAGATGATCCAGGGCATCACTTATGCAGGTAGGACAACAGAAATTACATTTCATATGTCTGTGTCTCAAATTCAAAATAAACTCTTGCTAGAATCCAGTCACTCCACCTGGAGTGGTTGTGTAGGTAGAGTTAAAAATAAAGTGTGGGCCCTGGATGAATCCTGGGGCAAACAAACAAACAAAAATCCCTTATATTTTAAGGGATGTAACTGGAGGGGAATTTGAATCTGTGTTTACCTTGAAAAGTGGTGTGTTCAAACAAATCAGCAAATGCGTTGCCATGTGCATTTTGAGTGATTTCCTTAGAGATGCCTGGTACTATTGCTTCTTTTCAGGAAACCAATAAAGTGGGAATTAAAAAAGTTAATATATTAAGGGGAAGTAGGAGTCTAAAAGAAATGCATGCAAAAAGAAAGTAAACTTCACCATTCTGGTTAAGCCCTGTAAAAAACAACACTGTGCATAAAGTGAGGTTGATTATAGCACAGTTTCTTAAAACAATATTTTTGTCTTCCTGAAAAAAAGTAATAGGTGATAATTTGACCAGATTTGATACTTGACTGGTCTTTTTTGATTAGATTGATTACGGTTTTACTAGGTGGTGTTTAAGCCCTTGGCTTTTAATTTCCAACCAGTTGTGCACTGGTATTTTTTCAGAAAATTGGGTAGCTCTTGAGGGCTTGTATTTAAAAGTCCCTCAGTGCCAGTAAGCACATATTACCTGGCCTTGACAAAGAGCATGGTCTGTTGCTGCTTAAGTAGATGGGTTTACTTAAGGGACAGCCTTAAGTCTCACCTTGACAGTGGCCTTAGTCTCACCTTGATTTTCACCACTGTTATGGTTGCCCTATGACCTGGTTTATTGGTTGTCACCACATGGCTAACCCTGTGCTTAAGGTGACATTAGTGTTGGAGAGCTGCCATTTGTTGGAGTCTGTGACAGAGAGAGTCCCCTGGGACCTTTGAAACTTGGAGAACTTTATTTTTATACCAGTCTATAACTAGTAATCTGATCTAGAAGTAGTACTCTAGAAAGCTAATTTTAGGCTTTTCCATTTGAAAACTCCTCCTCCTTTGAAAGTGTGATTTATACCACAGCAACAGGCAAAGCATCACCAACCAGTCAAGAGAGATGATTGTCCCGCTCTGCTCTGCACTGGGGCGGCCTCACCTTGAATATTGTGTGGAGTTTTGGGAACTGCAATATAAGAAAGATATTAAGCCATTGGAGAGTATCCAAAGGAGGGCAATGAAGATGGTGAAGGGCCTTGAGGGGAAGCTGTGTGAGGAGTGGCTGAGGGCACTTGGTCTGTTCAGCCTGGCAGAGACTGAGGTGAGACCTCACTGCAGTCTTCAACATCCTCACAGGGGCAAGTTGAGAAGCAAGGACTGATCTCTTATCTGTGGTGACCAGTGATAGGACACATGGGAACGACTTGAGGCTGTATCAGGAGGTTTAGGATAGGTATTAGAAAAAAGTTTTTCACCCAGAGGGTAATTGAGCAGTGGAACAGGCTCCACAGGGAAGTGATCACAGCACCAAGACTGACAGAGTTCAAGAAGCATTTGGACGGTGCTCTGAGGAACATGGGGTGACTCTTGGGGATGGTCCTGTGCACGGCTAAGAGCTGGACTTGATGATCCTTGTGGATCCCTTCCAACTCAGAATATTTTGTGATTTCTGTCTGTTTTTTCTTGTCTACTTTGAGGATTTTTTCCTTTAAAAAATCAAGTAACTTAGTTTAAATTTACCTTGCAGATACATTGGCAAACACAACTGTACTGGGTGCAGATGCCCAGGTGCTTTCAGTAGGGGCTCCCTGTGAGGAGAGGCTGGCGCTACCCCAAATTGGTTCCAGCTGGCTTTGACAGGCCCACCACAGGGCACAGCTGAGCCCTACACTCATGGCAGTGGTGCCTCAGGGAAAGCCTGTGTGAGAAAGGGCAAGAACATGGCACAGGGAAAGGAGTAGGGAACAAAAAGAATGAGAAATGGCGGCACAGGGATTTCCAAGGTCAAAGGCACCCTGCCATGGCAAGGCAAGTATTCCTTGAAGCCAAGGGAGAACTCAGACTGGAGCAGGTAGACATTTCCTGAAGGAACTGCTGTCCCTGCAGAACATGTACTGGGTCGAGGAGTCAGAAGTGAAGTTGAGCCTGGGTGGAGGATAAGTGGTGTTGCAATTTCTGTCAGTTTCTCACTATCCAAACATACTTATATATGCAATAAATCGATTTTCCCCAAGCTGAGTCTAATTTGCCTGTGGGGGTAATTGGTGAGTGACCTTCCTGTCTTTACCTTGACCCAGAAACTTTTCACCTTTTTTTCTCACCTGTATTGTAGAGAGGCTGGGTGGGTGTTTGGCCCTTAACCAAGGCCAACCCACCACAGAAGTGGGTGCTCAGTTGGTCAGATAGTAATTTTTGTCCATTTGAGGTGCCCTGAGTCACAGCACATGTGCAGAAGGCGACCAGGGATGATGTGGGAACTGTGGGTGGCTGGTGCCTTGTGGGGCAGTAGCTGGAGGTCAGGAGTGCATCGAGGCTCCTCAAACTATACTGGGCACCAACCCATGGGCAGCTGGATTGAGTCCCCTGAGTCTCAGGTTGAGACCAGAGCTTACCACAGTAAATCATGTTTCTCACTTTCCCCTCCTAAAGAAAAGGGGGCTGATACAAGAGTCAGCTGATTTTTATATATAGGTTTGAACTGAATAGAACATTGCAAATCCTGTAACAGTTTTTACTGCTCATCGCTTTGCTTTTGAGTTTTTATTCTGACCCTAGTTACACTAATCAGTTTGTAAGAAATAAAATATTAGACTCACCTCTGCTGAAAAGTAGAATAATACTTGCTTCTGAACATTAAACATGATGCACTAAATTGCCTTTTTTACTGATGCTGTAACTTGGTGAGACTGTAATTTAATTCTTATTGAAATTGGTAAGAGAAATGCATCCTGGAGTGGAGTGAACCTTATTGGAAAATATTTCATCAGACTGTTTTATTACAGTTCTAAGATGATTAACAAATAAAGAAATCAGTCTAAAATATAGCAAGCATTCTTCAGAAAATATCCTTGAGAGATGATCTTGTGTAAGTTATACTTGCTATTAAAATTTTCCAATCTTGGAAATGATTCTAATATTTATTGAGGTGTTCAAAGAATTGGTAGAGAGTTACCTTGTGCTCTTCTGGCTGAAATCAGGTACCAGTGTCCACGAGATGGAATCAGACACAAATAACTGTACATTTCAGAGCTTGCATATTGCTCATCAACTTAAGTTGTTTAAGAAAACACATGAAGGTACTTGAATAAGCATTTTCTGCTTTGTCTGGTGATTATTTTATTTTTTGCTAATATTATTGTTGTGGAAATCTCACCCTGTCAGTTTAACATTCCCTGAACTATATTTTGATATAGTTAATCGTTTCATGCAGGACTAGACTGTGCCTCCTGAGAAAGGATGGGTGAAAAGATTCTTGACTTAAATAGAATATTCATCAGGTTTGACTTCAGGTCTGTTTATTGGCAAGTTTTACGTGTCTGTGAGAGGTAGGGGGAGAAACTGTTTCAGACATTTAACTCAGTGAAACTACGGTGTCTTTGATCGTATGCTGGTGTCCTTGTATCTGTAGTGTGTAACTTTGTATCTCATAGTCTGGCTGGTGCTGGAAGCCTTTGTTTTCTTGAAGAGATAAAGAGACTGATTATACATCTTGAAGGAGGCAAAATATCCATCAAGTCTGAATGGAGTTTTGCTTGAGGGCAGACTGCAAGACCAGTAATATCATATGTGAATCAAAAATCAAACCTGGCAAGGCTTGGAACCATGACCAGTGTTGCATGTATTAGAGTGAATATTTGCTGCAATGCTTATTATATGGCACAGGTATGACCACCAATTAAAAGGGGAGTTCCTTTAGAAGTGAGAGAAATATCTCAATACAATGAACTTCAGTGATTTTCTGAAGTTCAGTTTCTCTCCAGCACTTAAACTTCCAATCTTAGAGCTTGGGCTGTATATATTAACAGTATGACAAACCTGAAATATAATTTTGCCTTCATTCAGGAAAGACTTGTTTCTGTCAGAGCATGTTTCCTACTCTTGGGAACTTGACAGTTGCTCAGGGCTTAAAGAATTGGCTCCAAGGAGCCTGGGTTTACTGTAAGAGCCATGTCAAAGCTGTTAGTTTTTCTTCAGGCTGGCAGTCCTCATCTGATTTTTACCTGAAATGTTTTTTCACATTTGGCCTTGAGTTGTTTTATGTGTATGTGTGAATCCAATAATTGGATTTGGAAGCTGATACCTCTTGAAGATTTCCAAATAAGCAGAATAAAATTAATGATAAAAATAACCCATCTTCTTGAAGTGATTTCAGTAGAGTTATGGTGTTTGCATTTTAAAATCTGAGCATTTTATAGAATAATACCTTTTACCTTTGGGTTTTATTTCTGGTCTTCAGATTTGCCTTCTTTACAGAACTGCTAGAAGGCAAAATGTATTATTGGATAGGACTACAAGTCAGTTGGAATATTAAGGGGGTTAGCAACCTGGAGAGGCACATGGGGAGTTGTGTGTTGCAAGTGACCCAATATCTAAGTTGCAAAAGATAACTGAAATACTGTAAAACCCAATTTTTATGAAGTTATCAGCCAAGTAGTACCATGAAAAATTTCTTCTGCACATATGCTTTTTGGTGTGCCACCAGAATCACAGAAGTATAAAGAACTAATGTTCAACATGTCCAGTTTCAATTTCTGATTTTATTTTTATCTGTCAATAGTGGGACTCCAACTCCAGCCTCGGATGCTGATGTTACCACACTGAGAGGTCAGTTTTCATCTAAATCCAGTTAAGGCTGATTCTGAATTCCTAGATAATTGAGAAATTTGATGGTGTTCAGACTTCGGAAAGAGCTGTGAATTTTTACATCTGTATAATGCTGTTGTAATTTAGAGATCATGTTATATGCTGACATTATTTTGTTACTGTATGAATAATGAAAATCCTACTTGAGAAATTAGTTCTGTGCGCTTTTTAGTGCACTTAAATGTCGTGTTTCCAAAAATGCATCATCTTAGGCAGAACATTAGCATTTTATTCTGATTAGTGTATTTGGTACTTTTCCTCAGGCTCTTCAGGTGTTTCCTGTCCTGTTGCTGCCATGATGATGGGAATAGAAATCAAATTTGACTGTTGGCTTATTCTTGCTGAACTGCTTCTGGGTATCTACATGCACATGGGTAAAAAAACCCCCACAAACCCAAATAATAATACTGTTCTCTTTCAAACTCAGATGCCGCTGCCAATGTTCCTCCCCCTGATGAGATCTCCATTGAGAGTCCTCCAGGTGCTACCATCGAGGAGGTAGACAGTATAGACACCACAGTGAGTGATTTTTTTCATGGGGTTCAACATTCTGTTGCCTTTTCTAAATGATATTTTTCATAGTCATTTACATTTTTCTGGTATTTGAAGGTATGTTAGCATTGTGTGCTAATACTAAGATTTCATAAAACCAGGGCATGGAATTTCTAAATTTTAAAAACAATTTCTTGGGTAGGTATTTTTCATTTGCAGAGGCTTTGCAGTGCCACTTCCCCAGCAGTGGGAGAGAACAGATCAGCTGAGCTATCAGATGAGGATTTTGCTAGAGTCATAGGACTAAAGAGGGAATTCCCAGTGGTTCTGAAAGCTCCAAGAAGAATGTCAAACATTATTATTCTTATGGAAACACAATATACCTTAGGTTGCTGCAGAAGTGGTACAACTGTGTAGGATGCAGATAAGTGGCCTGGACAGCCTTGAAGATTCTGATGCTCTTGCTCCTTTTCTTCTGGTTATGTAGATGAACTTTTACTTATCATCTTATAAGTCACTCTTACTGTGATATTTAAACAAAGCTCACAACACAAGGAATCCTATGCCCAGTACTTAAATCATCTCTGTAGAAGTGAGCTGAAAACCGCATAGGTCCCAGGGAAGCATTTGCTTATAGGAAACAGGTCCTCTGGATTTAAATTTTAATCCCAACTTTAGAATTCAACTGCAGTATTTGTGGTCCTACGTAACTGAAAAAAAATTTGCAAACCAGTGGTAGAAATCAGCTGGCTTTTGTTTTCTTATAAAAGTGAAACTCTCAATGTGTTATGGAGAAGCCTACGAAGTTTCACATGCTGCATATAAGTAGAAGCTGATTTATAGTACTGGGGTTTTTTTCATAAGAGTATGGCCATGAAAAAAGCTGAGCCAAACTGTACACTTCTAGAGCTTTCAGGGCTGACTGAAACCCTGATATTGGAATAAATACCAAATATGAAACAGGCAGATAGCTTCAGACTCAAGTCCAGGGTCTGGCTTTATATTATGTACCAAGAACACTTGTGGTTTGGTCCCATGTACAGTATTATTCTTTTTCAAAACAGAACTGCCTCTAGTACTTCTGCTGGAGCAGAGAATAGGATCATTCAGTAAATCATAAAGAAACCAGAATTAGATTGCTGCTGCTACAGTGTTTTCACTCTATACAGTTACATCACACCTCATCATTGCTCAATGCAGCCAAAATGCATCACAGGTTACAAGACCAAGGGTGAGCAAAGCTCATATTCTGCACTTGTATGTTGAATATATCAGGTTTTGGGGGACTGATAAATGATTTAAAATATGTGTTGTTGTAAGCAGCCATATGACAGCAGTATATATATGCCTGCTAAGTGTGTACCTCTCAAATGCTAACTAGCTTTAAATAGTGCACGAGTCATTATGGTCTTTAACAAAGTTATCTAGTGAAAAAGGGATAGAGTGGGGGAGGAAGAGAATTTAGCTAAAAATTTTTAGAGGGTCCCTAAACAATATATAAGTTAGTAACTGGCGGCAGATAAACTTTCCAGAGAAAGGTTTTTCCATTTCCTGCACAATACATAACTTAGGCTGCAGTTTTGTTGAAAAGGTCTGGTTTTTTGGGTCTCTTTTTTCCTTTTTAATGGGGGGAAAAAACAATAACTGCGTGTAAATAGCAAAGGACAAAACCTCTAGCAAAAGACATTTGTCTGTTTGGCTAAAGTTAACTTAAGCCAGCCTTCCTTTCCCTGCCACAGAAATCTTTTTTTTTGCTTTCTCTCACATCTTTCAGTATACCACAAGGAATAGCTGGTTTTACAATACTAGGGAACTGAGCAGAAAGGGTTCTTCCTGTGTAGCTCGGTCATTCAAATTAGATTTAAACTTGGCATTGCCTGCTGCCTGTGGCAGCCACTATAGTTGCATGCTTCCCTGGTGCATTGCACAGCCCCTGCCACGGGGCTCCTCAGGCAGCTGTAGACCCACCAGTTGAAGGCCACTGCTCTGTCTCAGCAGAGGTCCCTGCAGGTTTCCCAGTGCCCACTGTATATCTGTGGGATCCTTTACTTACTGAAGCTGAACAGCAGAGTGTTGTTCCAAACGTAGAACTTGACAAAGGTAACTTGTCTTCCATGTGGAATAGTAAGTAGGAGCCTTGTGATAAATGAGTAAATGTTGGGTAAATTGACCTAGGCTGACTGGGCTCAAGTGAGCTGTTTGAGTATCCGTGGCTGTGCTTTAAATTGCCTCATAAACATTCCGTGCAACTGGATTTCTGTTTGTACCTGAGGTCAACTAGGTGGACTTGCACTGCAGATGTCCCTATGGAAAACAGAATTATCTGCAATATGAGAATTCTCAAGAAATATTCTTGCTTAGTAGATTGCCTCATTAGTTGTTGCCTCTGTCCCTGAGGCTTCACAAGCACTCCATTATAGTTCAAGGCAAGCAGGTGTGCTGATGGCTCAAGTGAGGATGCTGAGCTTTGCACTGGGGTTTTCATGTGTCATTAAGTATATCTGTGACCAGCCCACCAATGGTGCCCTGAGGTGTTCCTGTCCATACAGGGCTCAGGTTTTCTGCCCCACCATGAGCCAGAGAAACCTTCAGATTTGCAGCAGCTGGAGAAGTTTCTGTTTCATGCAAGAAAGATATTTGGACCCAAACTTGGGAATGTAGTGTAGTGTTGACACATGGCAGACCATTTGTACACATACACATTTAGGGATGCTTTTTACATGGAGTAAACCCACAATAGGTAGGAATCTGGTCTGCGGTGAGTAACAAGGATTTGTTTCTTCAGAAAAAGAAAAAACCCAAGAACAAAGGGCAAAACAAACAAAAAAGAAGGCATTAAGCCAGCTCTTGTTTTTTTCCCTTTTTCCTTCCCTTCCAGATCAATAATGAGATAAAGACGCAGGATGAGAAGCTAGTGAGACCTGTAAGTGAGCAGATGATCGAGTTCAGCATTTTGATTACTGGTGAAAAGTACTGCGAGGAGCTGAAGGACCCAACTACTGCAGAGCATCAGCTGCTGTCTGAACGATTCATTTCTCAGGTGATTACTTTCCCTAACTTCCTTTTTCCTTTTGCTGGCTCTGCAAAACAGTAATAGCACAGAGCATCAGTGTCAGGGCTGCTTTTTTCTCATGGGCTGTGTGGAACCAGCTTAAGGGTTTTGTTGGCCTGAAGCAGGCTGGAAAATGCGCACTGTGAGAATACACCCTTCAGTCTGACATGCTGCCTTTTTGAAGCAGGAAAGTGCCATACACTGTGTGTATCATGCCACTTGCTGCAGACCCCAGTTTTCTTTTTGTGATTTTAATGATATATCCTGCTATAATTTTGCAGGCAAAAGAGGTAAAAGTATGCTTTTGGGAGGATCAGAAAATTATGCTGAACCCCTGAATGGGGGCGTAGTCTAAACAGGATCTTTCCGAGGGATTGTTCTCTCATTCTCTTTTCCCCATTTTCTGATCTCCTTAATTTGCCTCATGTTAGCAGAAGAAATGAATCTGAATGTTACTAATAAATGAAAAATATTTTCACTTACTTTAGTCCTTTTAAAGACCTATTTCTACCAGAGCTGGCTTAGACCTTACCATTCTTTTGGAATTTTTCAGTACCTCTCCCTGTCAGTGTTACTGCAGCAGAGCTTTTAAACTCACGGAGAAGTAACAACTCTCTTCTTTACCTCCTGATGCAACTTCACTAGTTCTTAAATTTGCAGGACTTGAAAATATTAAATTTCAAAAAGACATTTAACATCTCTCCAGTGAACAGTTTGCATAGAGTTCATTTCAGTGTTTTCTAATCAAGTCTTCCAATTTGAATTCTTCTGTAATTAGCTGTTTGGGGCGGTAAAAAAGATAATTTGAGGGTCTGAACAAATCAGCCTGTCAGCACTCTCAAGTAGACAGGTCCATCAACATCTGCTGCTTTGGACATGCACTGAAATGGGATAGAGGATACCTTAACAATTACTGTCTATACAGAATAGGTGATAAATGGGGAGATTGGAAGCCATAAACAGCAGAACTCATTTGTTATTTGTGATCAGAAGCAACATTTCTTTGAATGGATTGCTACCATTGAGATCCTCTCTCAAATCTAGACTGCCAAGACAACTCTTGCTCCTCATTTATGCCCAGAATGAGCAGTTCATGGGACTGCATTTTAAAACCCCTTCAACCAGTTCTTAAACACGTGCTGAAATCCCATTGGAGTGACTGGGAATGAACTATGGTTTAGACTGTTAGACACATGCTTTAAAGAAAAAATACATAGGTACATTATACATATATGCATGTATATATGAGTTATTAAAAATTTACTTCAATTATTTTCATTTATATGCTACAAATAAATTTATTGGCCCACCTATGTACAAATGTATTCCTAAAGTGTGATAATATACTGCTGTGTTCTGTTCTAATTTTTCTCTCCCTATTGTTTCCAAATTTGCCTGTAATGGTGGTAACTTTATTACCATAATTTTCTTGTGGCAGGGAGTTTGTCTTTCTTTTTCCTTGGTAGAGGTATTTAGGGTGCCATATGGCAGCTCATCATGAGGCTTATCTTTTCTCTAGCTTTGCTTCCTTCCTTGTCCCATCTAGTTGGGGTTCTCTGTTGAATCCTTTTTACTGGGGCTAACCCAGTGCCAGATCCTGAGGCAGATGGGAAAGAGATGTACTCTTTACTGCAGCCAAAAAGCATCACCACAACTGTCACAAGTTGCTAGCGTAGGCTAGACATCTTAATTTTCCTAGTTGTGTGGCCAAGTAGCAATGCCATAGTCTGTGTGTGTGTGCATAGGAAATGTCAGATGGGACAGAGTCCACCTGGCACATGGATGTTCCACTCCTTTGATCCCTTGCCTGGTTTTCTCTGAGCATGAATAAAGAAGCTCTTGAAAAAAAAAAAAAGTCGGCATCACTTTGATTGTTTAAGTCTCACCAGAGACAGTTTAAAAATAGGGATACTGGGGAGGGGAACAAGAATTTGCAGAGTAAAAAATAATCCTCAACTGGCAAAGATCTTTTGGGAGCTAAAAAAAAAGCCCCAAACCAGGATGAACCTTCAATATTCTATATCTTGTAGCACAGTTGACTATTGAATTAGGCCTGGATGTGCTTCCATTTTGCTGTCCCCAGCTATCTTTTTTGAACAGCACTGCTGGTCACTCCTGAGCCCTTAGCAAGTTTAGGGCAGTGGTGATGAGTTATGTTTTGCACTGTGTAGTGCATTAGTGCCTCTTTGGAATCTGAGAGGTCCCTTTCTTTTGGCAACCACTGCTCCACTTAAGTTGCTAAGGTCCAGAGCATTTTCCTGAATTCTTTTTAATCCAGAGGGGTTTGGGAAGTAATGGATACCTCTTGGGCAGGGAAGGATTTGAAGGATCTGCATAAATGAGAAAAAAGACTGTAATCTGCTATGGGCAGTGCAGGTCTCTGCAGTCTCTTTGAGTGTTTCTATACAGTTCTTGGGGAACACTGGATATTGTTCTTCACACTTTTTATTTTCCCTTTTCCTTTTCTAATAATGAAACAATGTCACCAAAACTACTCTTCCAGAAAGAAAGAGAATATTCAACCATTTTTTCCCCCATTAGATGTAACGCTCAGGTATATTTATGGAAAACATTGAAAACATTTCCCTTTTTTTTACCACGTGAGTAGGGTGAAGATGTGTTAATATTTTGTTTTTCCCTCAAAATAGATTAAAAGTGTATTTGAAGGACTACCTGGATACAGAAACATCCAAGTCCTGGATTACAGGTAAAAAGATACTGCTGCATACGTGGTGGTTGAAGCTGATTATGTATGGTGGTGCAGTGAGCTAAGATGATGCTTGGAAGAATGTTTGGCACGTGTGTGGAAGTTCCTAGGATGCATTAACCAAAGGACAAGTGCTTTCATATTTGTTATCTCTATATATAACAGTTGAAATAGAAATACAGAACTGAATGCAAATGCAAATATCATAGTTTTGTTTTTTTTTTATGGTTCTATCGTAAAATTAAAAGATATACTAACATCTAATACTTCTGCTGTACTGTTGATATCTCCAAGTATTAAACAAGGAAGAACACAGAAACATTTTTGGAAAAATGTGGTGTATTTATGTTTCTTTTTCAACTTCTTAATGTTAATTTGGGATGACTCTAAAGTTGGTGTTTAGAATATGTAAAGGTCTTTTGGTCTCTTGGATCAGAACAAAAGTGGGCAAATCATTTGATATGCAGTGTTTTAACTCTCTTTATTCCTGTAAGTATTTTTTAAAGACTAATTTCCCCAATTCAATTTGTGCTTCAGAATGACATTTAGGTTAATTTGCTAAGCTCATGCATCAAAGATTTGATGTCTGAGTTTTAGGGTACATGAGTCACAGACGGTGATTTTTCTTGAATGGACTGGATATAACTTTCAGAATCTAATGATACTGTTTATGAGTTAATCTAAATTGTGTTTTCTTTGAGACTGTAAGCTGTGTTTCTTAGCATTTATTGCCTAGGAATTTTAGCTAGAATACATACAGGTAACAAAGTAGCTATAGCGAGAAGGGTTTTGTGGCTGGAACCTTGACCTGTGTCCAGTTTTCAGCCTGAAAGGTAGCAAAACCTTCCGTCTTGGTATTTGCAGTCTAATACATTTGCAAGCTCTTGGTTCATTTGGGGAGGCAAATAAAAGGTTGGTATTTCCGGCAAATCACCAGAACTCTCTGCTCTGCTATGCTCAACAAAAACCCAAGGTTGTAAACTAAACCTTTAGGTAGAATTGATCTCCTTGATCTTGAAGTGCTAATAAGCTGAGATGTCTTTGCTCTACTGATTCCTTGGGATCAATAGGAAATATCATTTCAGTAAAAGCAGAACAGTTTATGTAGCAGAATAACTATGCAATTTAGTAGCAATTTGCTTTGTGCGTTTTCAAATTAGTGTGCCCTGTAGAATACCAAAGCAAATCTGTAAAAACTATAAGACTTAGAGGAAATTATGACACTGATCTAATGGTTTTTGCTATTCTGTTTTCTTTTTATGTTCAGCCCTTCCAAGGAAGACAGGTAAAGACACCTTTTTTACAAATATTGTCGTAATACAGATGGAAAAAACATGTTTAGCTGGAGGACATTGTTTGGGGGATTTGTAGTTTTGGCTCCAGAGCAAGATAGTTATCCAGCATAGATATTACGTGAGGGGTTCTACCAGAAAATGCAAGTAACTGATCTGTTTTGATTAAAGATAAACCTAATTTTCTTATTTAAGTCCTAATAATAATAATAATAATTAAAAAAAATACTCAGGGAAAGTCTACCTAAACACAAGTCAGCTACGGGGCTAACTTTGTGTATGAGTTTCTTTTGTGAAGTAAACAAAATTGCTTAATGATGACTCAAGGTCTTCATATTTTGCAGCAAAGTCTTGAATACATATGGGGTGATTATTATTACTGAAATTAAAGTAGTTAAAAAAACCACAGCTCTCTAGCAAAGGCACTTGTCTTAGCTACTTAAAGGACAAAGGTGCTACATGTTTTACCAGAACTTTCATAAACATTCTTTAGCAGAACATAGGATCAGTCTGGACTTGTTTTTCACCAGATACATGCAAGTTAAGAATCCAGCATTTTCTTTAGTATTTTAAGAATTTCACGAGACAGAAAATAAACTTACTGGATGTAATATTTTTTCTTGGGTATATATCAGCAAAAGCATAGCCAGTTTCCATGGAGAATTTTAAAGAGAATGAGCATTCTCATTTTAGAAGAAAGGTTAGATAACACAAATCTCTTCACAAACTGTACTGACTTAGTCATCGCCTACTACTGTGCACTTTTGGAGGATAAGACGTGTGCAACAGTTCACAAAGGCTATGTTCCAGCCACCAGATATTTAGCCTTTTCCAGACACATGATGGTGTTGTAGTTATTTGTTATTAATTATTAAAGCCAAAACAGTACAGTTGTATTAAATCTAAATGTTATGTTTGAGGAGCATGCTCTGTTTCATCTTCTGACAATGAATGCCCATGATGAGCTTATTTTGGACTTATTTCAACCATAGAGCCACCAGCAAAACTCCAGCAGGAGTCTCGTTTTAGTCAGTGTGTTTGCAGATTATGTCTCTGTTGTATCTGGTGCTGGAACTTTAAAGACTTCCCTGAACAGAGCAATTTTTTTAGTAATCCAGTTCAACTCCATGGAATGAAGAAAACCTGTATTCAGGGCACATTTTTCTAACACTTCATAGGTTACTTAGTGTTCTTGCTTCTTCTGTGTACAGCCAAAATATGTTATATTTTCTAAAGCTCTCTCATGCTTATGCCCAGTGTATGGTAAATTGGATTGCTGCCTATGCTGTCATGTGGAAAAGGGCATCCAAATGTATTCAGAAAAAGAAAATTGAGAAAATGGAGGAGAATTAATATGAAAAAAACCCAAAACCAAGTTATAGAATAAATGATCAAATGAGTCTAGATAAATGTTACCAATTATAAGCTGTATTAAATACCATTTCATTGCTGTTAAAGACATTCTTTTAAACAGGTTGACACTGCACAGTGACAGCAATCAGGGCTCTCAACTGCTACTGTAGATTGCTGCTATATACAGCCTGTTTTTTCTGCCTGTTTTCATACCTCAGGAACATTCCCATCATTGATAAGACCTTAAAATCATCACTCTCACCACTGCATGCTGGTGGGTCCATTAATAATGCTGTTAAAAAGCCAGCATTTTGGTCTGCTTGTGGTCTGTCTGCCATTCATTAGCAGAAATAAAGAACTGGGACCAGACCAGGTGTCAGCTTCTAGTAGCCTTTTCCTTGAGAACCTTGCAGTGGTGGAAAGCACCAGCAGATACAAATATGAAAAGAATTAAATAGTTTTTATGTAGAATCATTTAAAGCCATATGTTTTTATATTTAGAAGTGTATTAAACAGGTTCTTGGGAAAAAGTATCATAGTGTTTGTTATACTTTGGAAAACCTGGCATTTCTCATCTGTGTTCTCTTTCTCTTTGTACAACTGAAGTGGGGTGGAAGTTCACTATGCTGTTACATTTGATGGAAAAGCCATCAGCAATGCCACCTGGGACCTGATTAACCTTCAGTCCAACAAGGTGGAGGACAACTCCTTTATGGGCATAGAGGATAATCCAACAGTTGTATACACCATCAGTGATTTCCAGGATTATATTGCTGAAATCCTCCAGAAAAACGCTTTGCTTGAAAACACTTCCTTGTCTTTAGACCCTAACTCTCTCCAGCTCACTAATGGTGAGTATTAATCATGATGCATTGGTGTGTCACACATCTGAATTTTTATAAACTAAATCTCAGGTGAGTGAATTATTCAGCTGCCCTCTTATAATAATTAAACAGAAAGAACAAAACCAACTATGTTACAGCTTGCTTTGCTCTGATCTTAACCAGACTAAATCATTAGCAGCAGCATTCCATTTTTTTAATCCATTAGTCTAGCCTCTTTTTTTTTTTTTTCATTGAGGTTTGTGCTGTGAAATTCCAGTAACACTTCCAAAAATTAATAGAAATAAAAGGGTTTCACGTGATGCACATTGCACCAAGGTGACCTTCAGCGTGGTAGCCCTTGAGCAGCACAAAGGAAATACCTGGGTTATTGTTGAATGTTCAGTGATCCTGCTAGAGGTGATGAAAGAGGTCATCCTTTTGTTCTCATCTTTCCTCTGTACTTCCTATCAGTGATTTGGGGGCATCTCCGGGAACAAAATCTCTCTGGCAAATTTTTTGAAAAGATTTTACTCACAAATCTGAGATCAGAGAGGGTTTTCCAGTCAGTTTTCCCACACAACTTCCTCACAGTGCTATGGCAGCCTTTAGATCCCAAGTATTTATGTTTTCACAGTGAAAGAAATACTACACCCCACATCAGAATACCCACCCTGGATTACTGAGCATCCAGTTGTGCTGGAGCGCCCGGAGTTTGATGTGAGTATGGTTCTGAGCAGAGGCCTTTGGAAACATTTGAACAATTTGACTCAACAAGGTGGAATTGTAGCCAATACCCAGAGCTTCTCTATCCTCTTTACGTGCAGAATAAGTAGTAATGAAGACACACCTTGTATTAGAGTAAAAACGGGTGAAATCTCTCATATGATATTTCTGGTATCTGTTGCACAACAGTTTTCTGTGATCATCTTGTTTAGACTGTAAACTTCTCTAAAGACATGATTCTTCCTTCCATTATCCTATGTTTTTTTGGAAAACAACAAATAAATGTATACCCTAAAGTTGGCTGCTAGAAGGGAGAAAATGCTGTTTCATATGCTCTTTTTGTTACTGTATTACCTTCACAGAAAATTGTCAACTTGATTTTAAAATTATGTCCATCCCCCTAATGCCAGCAAAGGAAACAGAAATATAACAGGCAGTGAAATTGTAATTATCTCCTCTGATTACCTCTGGAACAAGCCAGGACATAGATTGAAGTTCCCTATTGGACAGGAGTCTCAGTATCCTGACCATGTCTGTGCAGTGCAAAGAGACTTTGGGCAGAGATACTGAGTTAAGGGCTGGCCATGCTGAGAGCAAGTCAAGTGGTTCTGCCAACAGTGAGAACTTCCGAGTGGTGGAGCATTGTCTGGGCAGTAGGTTTCTGCTCTGCACTCTGTTGTGTAACACAGATGTGCCTTCCACAAAGAAATGAGCTCAGATGGTGCCATAAAATCCAGGTCTACCTGTGCTGGATGTTAGATTCTCACTAAGCCCATTATGAGACAATGTTGTGACAGACACGTCTAATTTCAGGTCAGCTTCTGAAAGCTTTATGTAAGCAAAATTTGTAGTCACTTCACAGAACCCAAATATTTTTAGAATGGACACAGGTATAATATCCTTAATTTCGTGCCAGCTTTTCCGGAGTTTTAAAAACTAATCATTGGTGTCTAAAATACAAATTCATATGGATTTGCCATAATGGCTTAAACGTAGTGTGAATTTAAGTTAACTTTCAGGAAAGGTCTTTCTCTTTACTAGGGCTGTCTAACTAGTTTAAAATATTGCAGATATTTATTTTAGTAAGACAAAGAATCCTTCCATCTTTACATTCTGTCTGTGGATAATCTGGCAGATGTGCAGGCAAGAAGATTTTAGAGTAGCGGTAGCTGTATAGTAATAAATTTTAAGCCAATTTTAGGGAATAATGTGTATGAAAAAAATTGTGGAAGTTATATTTTTCTAATTATGAGCTGCCAATAAAGTAATCTATGACTTCAAGCAAGAACTCTAATTATGTAAAAGATACTGAATATATTCCCAAACCAGCTGTGTACAACCTGCAAAACACAGATAATTTGGGAAGTAACTTCACATAAATTTAAGAAAATCATAAACATGCTTAAACAGTAAGCAATTGATCAATTATTTCCACAGATGTCGAACCTTTATGGATACACTTAAGTAGAACAGCTACCTATGGAAAAGAATTTTGCTACGATTCTTCTTAGCTGATTTGAGAATAAGTTGGATTTGTATTATCATCCATAGTTATGACATAATGCAGGACTGTCATGACTTCACCATCTAATTGCTAGCAGATGGTACCACTAATTCCTTTTTTTTTTTTTTTTGGGGGGGGGGGTGAGTTTTACAGCTCTCTCAAAAAGTAAAGCAAAAATCAAGTCTATTTTTTGAAATCCATATTTTCTTGTTATTTCTGTTGAGTTGTAACAGGTAGAGTGCTCTGGCTTTCTGAATACAATGCCTTTCTGGCAGCAGAAAATGGAAAATCAGGGAGGGAGTTCTGTGTTTGCAGTCATCTGTCATATTTGTAAGCCTTTCTAAAGACATTAGCAAAAACCAGAACTTGCCAAGATGATATTAAACTTGTTAATATAATATATTGCACTGTAACAAGAATCTTTGAATAATGTCAGTTGCCATAGGAACATCTATCCACATCTGAATAAATGATGAAGTGCAATCCCTGGAACTAAGTGCTGACATAAAAAAAAAATGTACTGAGAAGCTATTGCTGGTAGTCCTTATTCATTCTTTATGGAATTTGTACGTGTAATTTGTTTCTATTTTTGTATAGTAACTGTTTTTACAGCTTTATTTATAGTGGTCAGTTTTGCCAAAAAATATAATTGCTCAAGCACATGTCTATGTGGTATTTATATTTTTCAACTGCTTGTTACCATATAAATTAAAGAATGTGAGGAGACTGTGGTGGCATAACAAATGGCATTTTTAAATGTGATCAATGCACGTAAACAAGTAATTTAATAAAAATATCTTAATTAGCCTGTTTCCAAAGCATTCAAATGCAGTTTGAATGAAGCTGAAAATTTAATTCACCCACATTTCAACCAGGAGTTAAATTTCAAACTGAAAAGTGTTTGGATTCTTCCTGTTATCCCTGCTGGTCAAGTAATAAAAGGAAATTTGTCAGGAATGATGAGCTCCAGAAAGAGTTAAAATGGTTTTGAACTGTAATATGTATTATAGAACCCTGTGTCCACTGCCCACTTAACTTTGCTCGTTACCATCAGTTGGTTTGTTCTTAGTAAATTGCTGCTTCTTGAAAGTTCTTGGCAGGTTTTGTATCCCATGGGTTTTTTTTGATCCATAGCAGACCACTGCACAGCATTGATATGTGGGCAGGTGTCCGTGTGAAACACTAATTCCCACATTTTAGGCTGGCAGCTTGCTTTTTGTGGCCTTGGCCAAATAACTTAATCTCTTTATTGGCTTTTCCCAATATAATTATCTCATCAGACACCGTGATAGTAGATTGATATTCAAAGATGAAATGTGCTAACTATTTTAACTGTAAACCGAATAATGATTAGGGTGTGAAGTAGTAAGTAAGCAGTGTGGAAATTGGAGATGTGAAACCAAATTATTTTTTCACATTCCAAACAATTTGTTCTGCATACTCTTTGTTGTTCATAGTTACTGCTGATAGATTTTTTTTTTTTTTCTGCACAGGCTTTGAGACTAAAGTTATTCCAGGTTCTAAGCATTCTTCTTTACATTATGGTTTTTGTTTTCCTCCCGGGTTCTTATGCCCCAAAACTAAAAGATACCAATAAATGATCACTGGGCATGCATACATTCAAGCTCTGTTTCTTTGCTGTTTTATGTATCACAGTTACTGCAGTATTATAATTACTATATTGATTGTGTAGCTGATGAATAATAGCTGCTAAAATCTCATCTTGCTTTAGGAATTCAGGCAGAATTTATCTTTGGTTTAATTAGAGATGGACAGATTCACTGTTTCAGTATAAGAAAGGATAAGAGGTTGGGTGTAGACAACAAATCTGTTGATGCCATAAGTGATGCTCTACTCCAAACAATCTGAATGGCTCCTTTCCCTTTTTAATGGACACGGCTGGACATGATATATGCCACAAGGACATGAATTTTACATGTGTATTGCACACAGTTAGCAAAAGGTCTTTATTTGCCAGTCCTCCCAGTTTAGCCCCTCCTGCTGCTCTGCATTGCTCTCTCACAGAGGCAAGTCTTTGTTGTTGCCTGCTGTTATCACCCTCTCTGTGTTCAGCTCAGTGCAGATAATCAATGTTTCCCCCTGTAATAGTGGAAATATTAATAATGGATTTGTGTTCCAGGATGGCACCTTTGTAGCTGAACGTCCCTCAGCAGATGAATCAACAGTCAGCAATGCTGTGCCCTTTGATTACACCAAACCAGACTCTGCTTCAGAGAGTGAAATCCAGCCAAGACCAGGAACCCTGGACTTGGAGGCTGGTTTGGCACCTGAAGCTCCACTCTCCTCAGAGGCTGACGACACTTCTTTGTCTGATGGGCTGAATTTAGAGGATGGGAGTCAGACTCCTCATTTGGTCCCTGCACCAGAGTTAGAGCATGATTCTGAGGACTCTCTGGAATGGTTTTCACCCCCCAGTTCTTTAGATGGTATGTTAATGCCATTGACCGGAGCTTAAATTTGGATGCCAGTGTTTCCTGATACTCACCAAATTACAGTTCACCAAAATGACTTTTCAGAAAGGTCTAAAAATTGGATTTCTTTCTCTACTCATTTCTACCTTTCCTGTATGCATATACTCAAGAAAAATATACAAAGGTAAAATGCTTGTAATAGCTAATAATTCATGTTTATCCCTTCTGGAAATGAAACACACATTGTGCTTGTTTAATTTCCTAGAATTAATTTTGTGTGTCTTGACTTGGCCCATATAATATCTGAATGGGAAGTGGGAGAGGTCAACAGGAGTCCTTCTGACTTTGGCATACAAAGGCCAGGATATATTATGGCAAACGTGGAATACAGGTCTACAGAAAATAAAGTTCATGTAATTTGACTCTTTTTATCATAAACAACAACTAATGTGAAATTTATTTTTATTTTTAATAGTTGAAGATACTGGACCATCTGAAGATATTTTGCCTTCAAGTCCCTCTCACCTTGTGCCTGAAGAATTTCCATCTACAGATGATTATGCAGTTCCTCTGCTTCCTGCACCAACAGTGGCCTCTTCATCAGTCATGGAGACTGATATTAAAGAAATAGTATCTGCTGAGAAGGAAGAAGAAACTCAAGGTAGTCCTGAGGGCAGTGACAGTGCAGACTCTGTGGAAGAAATTCCTTTTCCCTTAGAAGTGCCCCCTATGGAAGATGAAACTGATATGTTTCTTGGAGATAGAGTTATATATGATGATGGGTCTGGTTCAGCTTTTGATGGTTCAGGAAAAGAAATGGAATCAAGTATCTGGCCTTGGGAAGAAGCAACACTGGAACCAGTTTTCTACCCTGGTCCTGATAGCTGGCTTGAAGATGACAATGAGTCTTTGTTAACCAAAACTGAGGATATCCCTGAAGGCATGATCTTAGACTATATTCTTAACTCTGACAATAAATTAGATTATGATCCTTCCAAAGATGAGAATGAACGTATAGTCAATATAAAAGATTTCCTTGATGAGTCTGAAATATTTGTCTTTCCAGAGACTACAACTCCGCCAGTACCTCTGTTACAGACAGAAGAGCCATCATCTGTGGAACCATCTACACAGGCAGAAACACCCAGCATGTATGATTCCTCTTTTGTTAAACCATCCTTGGTTTTGGAGCCTTCAGTGGATCATTCCACTGTAGACATGCCGACCGGAGAGGTGCCTGTCTCACCACAGTACACAGATCTGTCTGTGGAAGATCACCTACTTACATCTACAGGGACTGTCAGTATGGAGCAACCTGAAGAGTCAAGCGTAGATCAGAACATAATTTCTGAAGAAACTGAACAGCAAAAGGAAGACAGGACAATGGTAGAAGAACTATACACAGTGAAGCAGCTAGATGTAATGGAAGCTGCTACAATAGGGGACACAAGCTCTTCAGGAACCATTCTGACTGCAGGTCCTTCCATGGTGGAGCCTGATGCTTCCACAGAAGAGCAGCAAGCCCTAGATTCATCATTGACAGGCCAAGACACTACTGGATCAACAGTGAAGAGACCAGGTGATGTTTGGCCTACTGACAGAACACTAGAAACCTCCTTAGATCAGGCAGTGCAATTAGCAACGCCAGCTGCCCCTCAAGTTTCAACTGCAGTTCCTTCTGTAATAGATCAGACCACTGTTCTGGAGGACTTCGCTGGGCAGGGTGGTACAGACCACGTTTCCATGAGCTTCAGCACTGCTAAGAAGTATGAAACAGTGAGAGTAACAACAAGCCCTGCTGAGCTTCCATCCCATCTCCCTCCTGTGGGATCCACAACATCGTTTTCTGTGGCTGCCTCAACAAAGCTGGGGGATGAAACGACAAGAGCCCTGGATGTTTCAGTAGACCTGGATCGTGTGAGCACTGTCCACTTTTTTCCTGAGCAGACTGAGGAGGGAAGAAGAATGACTGAAAGTCACATGGAGCTGACAACTCGCATCCAGTCCACGGAGATGGCCAGTGTGGCTTGGGCCACACATGAGACTCACTACAGCAGTACTGTCCCGTCCCGAGCTCTAGTTGTGTTTTTCAGTCTTCGGGTTACCAACATGATGTTTTCAGAGGACCTCTTTAATAAAAACTCCCCTGAATACAAAGCGTTGGAACAGCGATTCTTGGAACTGGTAAGAATCACTTCTATACTAAATGTTCAAGACCACATAGACACAAATTGTTGGTAATGATATTTAATAATCTCTCTTACAAAACTGGTATGTACAGATATGATTTGTGTCACTCCATGAGAAAATTCTGTCTGGAAACAGGTGGTGGGATGTTTGTCTTTTATTTATTCAATATTCTCTCTAAAGCAGAACTTTTTAGTTCACTTTTTAGTGATGGGGTAACTTTTCTGCTACACATTCAACCTATCCTAAGAGGTGATTCAGGGAGCTAAGCAGTTCCTTCCCTGGCTGATGACTAGCAAAGCTTCACAGGAGTTATACAGCAACAACTGCCAAGTTGTAACTGGGAAATTCACCTCTCCTGACTGAAATGAAATTAACTTTTTTTTTTTGGGGGGGGGGAGATAAGGGAACAAAACAGAGAGGGGGAAGTGGGACATGCTTGAAGGAGAAACCCTGTGAAATAGCAATTATGGCTGGTGCTCAGATCAAGGGAGAACACGATTTATGCCCTGAGAACTGTATTTCTCAATCATAAGCTTTTAGAAACTGTCTGACAATTGGTATACTCTTAAAAGATACATGAAATACTCAGGCTCCTGGCAGGCTGCCAGCACAGAACTCAGTTGGGTAGAGGTTAATGCCTTTGCTGCAGGATTTGGATAAAGTCATTCAGTCTGTCTGATGCAGTAACAGTGGAATGGAATTGAGTAGAGAGAGATTCAAAGATTCAGCTTTTCTGTCACATCCCCTGTGTTGCAGCTGGTGCCCTACCTTCAGTCAAATCTGACAGGTTTCCAGAATCTGGAAATCCTGAACTTCAGAAACGGCAGCATTGTGGTGAACAGCCGAATGAAATTTGCCAAACCTGTGCCTCGGAATGTCACCAATGCTGTGTACTTGATCCTGGAAGACTTCTGCAACACTGCATATCACACCATGAACCTGGCCATTGATAAATACTCCCTGGATGTGGAATCGGGTAAGGACAGCAGGGAAATGCAGTTTAAAAGCAAGGAATTTAAAACAATTTCTGCTTTAAGTACTAGGGATCCCAGCAGCTCAGAGACTGCCCACTGATTTTCACAGTCTGGGCTTTAGAAACAGTCTTTCAGAGTTCAAACAAACAAATAAAAATCTGTTATGGGACTAAAGAGACGAAAATAAAAGTGGGACTCCAAGCAAGTTGTATGGGATCCCTATAGAATTATGGAGAAAAATTCACTCATGTAATACTCTGTACAATGCCACTGCACTTTACCTGGGGAGTGAGGGAGTAGCCTGTTCAGGTAGAACAGTGGTGCCCATCTCTCTTGTGTTTAGTTTCATGTGTGGTTTGAACTTATTCCATGTGGTTACTCCGACAGGTGGTAGCCAGTTTAGCTGCCAGGTGAGCATCTGCACAGGTAACAGCTGCCTCATTCTTGTGGTAAGATCTTGACTGCACTAAATAGTTACAGGCCCTCTTGGTTCACTCCTCTGACACAGAGAGAAAGGTTTTTTTCTCTGTCCATTTAGCCAGTAGTTTACCATATAAGCAACTCAAAAATATTTCCTGTTTTAAGATTAGAGAAAAACAAGAGTGCTGACCTGTTGGCAAATGGTAGCTGTTCTTCACAGGTAGCTCTCCTAAAAAGATGGTCTAATTAGCATGAGAAATCTTCTGATCTTGATCATTAGGGGTATGACAGCCTCTTAAGCTTGATACAAGTGAGACATCTTGAATGCTATATTCCTTGCAGACAAAAAGGCAAATCCCCTTACAGAAGATGGTGAATGCCCCAAGTCCCCTTGCCTGTCCCTAAATGCTGCCTAAGTGTTCTATTACAAGAAATACTGGAGTTCAGCTGTGTTTTACTCATTTGCAAAATGTAGTTCCAGCAGAGAGAGAACGTATGAGGTACTGCATGTTCCAGTAAGAAAAAGATCACTTTATGTACTCAGTTTTTTGATTGCTTTGTTGGGTGGTCTTAGCTGTGCCACTGGCATGCACTGTGCAGACAGAGGAATACTTGCTGGTGCTTGTTCACCTTTTGTTACTTGGGAAAGATGCAAACTGGATTTTTGTGGATTAACTAAGAGACCATTAGAGAAAATGGCAACAGGCAGCCAGCACTTTGCCTCAATTAAGGTTCTCCTCTATCGTTAATATTTTCTGCTCTGTGTATTGTCAGGTGAGCAGGCAGATCCCTGCAAGTTCCAGGCCTGCAATGAATTCTCTGAGTGTTTAGTAAATCGCTGGAGTGGAGAAGCTGAGTGTGTCTGCAATCCTGGCTACCTGAGCATTGACGGGCTGCCGTGCAACAGCATTTGTGATCTGCAACCAAACTTCTGCCTGAATGATGGGAAGTGTGACATAAGCCCTGGGCAGGGGGCCATCTGTAGGTAGGTCATCCTGCTGTTTGAAGTCGTGCTTCCTATATGAAAACCCTTTATTGTCTCCTGTGTTGTAGCATTCTACAAGATTTGTCTAAAATTCTGTACAATAATGCATGACAAGTGAGGAGATATTATTACTCATGTTATGCTGCTGTGTCCAAGTCCCAATATTAACATTAGTTTTTCTCTGTATCAGAAATGAGACAGTAATAGATTAATAGCTTATTTCCTGATGTTTCTATTCTTACTATTTAGGAAAAATAGTTGCACACTCTGTTTTTCAAATCACTTGTGTTGACCTTTGCTTCTTCACAGAACCTCTGGAGATAAATTCTGTCCCCAAAGTGTTAGATAATGTCATATAACATATAGTAGTTAATCCCATCACAAAAATTCATACCTGAAAGGCAGACTGATAGAGAAAAAATGTATTAAATATAATGCTTTCATTTAAGAAAATCTTATAACAGTAAATATTGGACATTTGGGAAAAATTGTGCGTGATTCATAAAGGGATCAAGGCACAGGCACCATAGTTAAAATTTTCTCTTAAAAAAAGATATAGATGCATCTGAACAGGATTGCTGTATTTTGCAGGTAATGGAAAAGACTTAGTACAAGATACAGAAAAATTGATGCTACTGCTGACACTGCACCTAATTTTTTACTTTTCAAGCAAAGTAACAGTCTATTTTTAAAAGCAAAATATACCTATCAACAAAAGTTGCGAGAATTATTGCAAAGAAGAACGTTATTACTAGTAGTCGTTATTTATGTTATTTCATGTGATTTTCTTTTTAAAGCTTGCCTAGAACATCTCTCAGGTCAGAGTTCTAGTATTTAACAGAAGAAAAAAAGCTTAAAAAACTATAAAAATGGATATTATCACAGATGTATTATAACTTTAATCATATTCGTATAATAGTGTTAATTAGAAGCTGGTAAGTATCTGAAATCCAGCATGTTACAGCCTGTATTTATTAAGAACTTTCTGAAAAAATTGAAGTATTGCTTGCTACTTTCAGAAACTATTTCAGATAATTATGTTAGAAAACTTAATTTACTGATGTTTCTTATCAACAAGATTCATTGCTGTGTCATAGCACCTTAAAATTCCTTGAGTTTTTATAGTGAAAATTCCCAAACACACATAATGCAAATTTATTATTTTTTCTGGTATTTTTAAAGTCAGTATTAACATTAAACTTCTCATGTTTAAAAACACAGTAAGGCAAGAATACTGAATACTGCTTTGGGCAACCATTCCAGAGAGAGACTCTTGAACACAAACTTCTTTCTATTGTTTATTTTATGTATCTATTTACCAAACCATTGTGGAGTTCACTACACTGTTTTGCTCAGTTAACACACCCTCATTTGTATTTGCATTACAAGATGATAAACACAACTGCGTTATCAGTTGTACAGTATTTGATATGTCACATGCAAGGCTCAGTCAAGGCAGGACTTTTTACTTAGTCTAAACACCTTCCAGTTTTAACACATCAGAGGATACTCTAAACTGCAAAACCCACAGACTTTTTCCCTCACAAATACATTACGCTTTTACTCTTTTACCCACCTTCATGAAATTCAGTAATTGGGATAGTTCCTCCTGGAGAAGAGAAGGCTCCTGGGAGGTCTTCCTGTGGCCTTTCCATATTTAAGGGGGGCTTATAAGAAAGATGAGGACAAACTCTTTACCAGGGCCTGTTGCAACAGGACAAGGTTTTTAAACTAAAAGAGGGTAGATTTAGACTAGATATAAGGAAGAAATTTTCTACACTGCTGGTGGGGAAGCACTGGGACAGGTTGTCAAGAGAGGTGATAGATGCCCCACCCATTGGTTTGGATGGGGCTCTGAGCATCCTGGTCTAGTTGAAGATGTCCCTGCTTATTGCAGGGGTTTGGACTAGATGGCTTTTGAAGGTCCTTTTCAACCAAAACTGTTATATGATTCTATACCAGAAAGAGCGTTGGCAATAATAATAATGAAGAAAATTGCTGATTGAACAATGCAAACATATTTATTGAAGTGACTTAACTGAGGGCACACCCTAACAGAAAGTTAAATACATTAACCAAAGCTTTTGCTGGTGCTTAATTTCCCTGTGTTTCTTTGTGGCAGGTGTCGTGTGGGAGAGAACTGGTGGTACAGGGGGGAGCACTGTGAAGAATATGTGTCTGAGCCACTGGTTGTGGGGATTGCAATTGCTTCTGTGGCAGGATTTCTTCTTGTGGCATCTGCTGTCATCTTCTTCCTGGCCAGGACCCTTCGAGACCAGTATACAAAGAGTGACAGCGGTGACTCACAGGGGTAAGTGACGCCATCTAATACTTTGGAGCACGTCAGCTGCAATGAGGATAATTCTGTCGTAAGTCTTATATCACACAGTTGACAAGCAACAGGATGTGCAGGCGCCTCCAAATTCCAGGCTTCCTGAGTCTATCTGCTGCCCTTCCAGGCTGCAGAGAAGCTCACAGTTTGTTTATTGCTCCCCCAGGCAGGGTGACAGCCTCTCGTCCATTGAGAATGCAGTTAAATACAACCCCATGTATGAAAGTGATACGACTGGCTACAGCCATTATTACCGGAGATATCCTCAGCTAACGTCCTACAGTTCTACCAGTGCAGAGACATCCACAGACTACAGCAGTGAAGAGATCAGGCACATTTATGAAAACAGTGAGCTTACTAAGGAGGTAAATAACCTTATTTTCATAGTGTCATGGGAAAGATCATGTAAACAGTAAGCTTGTTCCACACTTCTAACCTCCGAGGTGGGCCCAGTCTTTCTCCGGTGTCTATGATCTAGACAAAGAAAATCTGCTGCAACTACCTAAGAGAAGACAGAAAGCTTTTCTTTCCCTGCTTGCTTTTAGGTGTAGAGAAAGGAATGGGTTTGTTCTGGCCTGTAATGGATTTCTCATTAAAAAAAGGAACTGACTCCTTAAGTGACTTCACGGGAGTTGGGGAGATTTAATGTGTTGCTCAACACAACCTTTACCTTTTAATGCCAACTAAAAGTAGTTACACAGTGAAAAAACTGGTACATCCAGGTCTTTTCACAGGGTTTTTTATTTTGGGTACTTTTTGATGGCTTTTAAAGTTTAGGTCTTTCTATAACCTGCAAGTTAGATCACATCCTTCTCCTTTCATTCTGAACACACAGTATCCAAGGTTTACTCTAGAAAGCTAAAAAGAAGGGATTTATTTACATCCTGGAAGTAACCACATATCCTTAAGCAATTGTGAGAGGGGTGAATCCACCATGTAGCTGGACTAGTAGGTGAGGTATCTGTGAGAGATAAATGGTTTGTTAAAGCCTGTTGAAATAACACATTCTATCCAAACCCTGCTTTTGATATAAAAGTGAAGTATTAATGAATTCAAACAAAGTGCTTCACTTAAAAAAGAAACAAACAAAGAAACAAAAACCACCAACAACAAAAACCCCACAAAGTGTCGGAGTGCACAGTTTCAAGCTCTACTCCTTGAAGCAGCAATGCATAGGAGTTTTATTTTCCAAAAACCAGAAAACAGCTATTTCAGTAATATTCTAGTTTCTATTGTGTACTTACAATTCTGTGTCTTGTATTCTAGGAGATTCAGGACAGAATTCGAATTATAGAGCTCTACGCTAAGGACCGTCAGTTTGCAGAGTTTGTTAGGCAGCATCAAATGTGAGTGAAATGTCTTGTCTGCATATCTAACTCCTTTGATGTTTTCTCCTGTGGCCTTTACTACATTACTATATTTTTTATGTGTCTAGAAACCTGGGACGCTAAAGGCTAAGATTTCGACATTATTTTTGAAGAAGTTCAACCCTTTTAAAATAATAATCACTGTTAAAAGTAGACAGCCCCAGAACTCTAACATTAATTTAGGTCCTTGAAAGCATAGGTAGAACCTTCTTAACTCTACCGATGTATTTCCCATTGCCTGGTGTTCTACTTAAACTAACATGCTTTTAAAATTTCTACTTTATCTTGAGTTCTCAAGACTTGGCAACTAAACCAAGACCTGACAGATCACAATCCTGTCTGGTATGGTGCGCTCCTGCCATTATGGAAAATTTACAATTCCAAACAATTAACCAATCTGAGCTGAGTGCTTTGATGAAAACTAAGCAAGAAAAAGGTCATCAGGGAATGATCAAGAAATTACTAGCATACACACTCTCATGAACTGTACTCCCACTAGAGCAAGCAGCAAATCACAGCTTGCTGAGGTAGTTTGAAAGATACTGTAGTAAAATTCCTTGGGATTCTATTAAAAATAGCTACAGTAGCAAAAAAAGTTATGTTCTCAGATCTTCAGCTATAATTTTTTTTTAATTGAAAATAACAGCAGTTCACATTTTTCCATGTCAGTAGTTCATTTTTTCATCCTGAAAAGGACCAGCATCTGAATTTTCCACAGCTGAAAAGTAGTAAGGGCTGTCTTATATAAGCCTGGAATCCAGTGTTTGAAAGAGATGAACTTAATCATTCCTTCTCTGTTTTTCATTTCAGGAAGCTGCTTTAAGAAAAAAAGAAATTGATAGAATACATGTGGGAGATAAAGACTACCTTGTTGCCACAGCAATGTGCTCAGATGTAACTGCAAAGTTACTTATAGTCTTAACATTGCATGGATGGATACAGATGTTTTCTAAATGAATGACTAAAATGTACAGATGTCTGTTTATCTCAATTACTTCTGGCTTTTCCGTGTAAAGTGACATTTTTGAGAGGTGATCAGAAGTGGCAGAGGTTACAAAAGTTCGTTTTTCTTTAACTCCAAAATGGACAGTGAAAGTTTTGTACACAAAGGCAAAGAGAAGATACGTGCACAACCAAAATAAAATGCTCATTGAAAACCCCTGTCTGGCATTTATCCCCTCACTGGAGGCTCCAGTAGTGATTTCACGGGTATAAAACACTAGCGGAAAGAAACATTTGATTTGCGAGGGAAGGAGTTGTAGGGGAGACCTGTTGTGCTAGAATTATGTCAGCATTATTGTAAAGCATTCCCGTTAGCAACACAAACATAACCTCGCTGGAAAAGTTTTCCTTCTGTACAGATGCCTGATGTATGTTTTGCCACCTGGCATTAGCAAAGCAGATGACAGCACTGAGCCTGCAGTCCTCCTGAGGGCTCTCCCCAGCCATCAGCATTCCCATTGCCTGGGACCACCAGCAGTGCTGCAGTGCAGTGTCTTCAAAGCCAGGATGGCTGGTTCTCCAGCTGTTCCTGGCAGACACACCACCTGAGGCACAGAAGGGCTTCTATCATACATTCTGTGAGGCTTAAGTGACTGACATTGACCTTTTCTTTGTATGTAGATAATTGGTATCACATTTTGTAAGTTAATATGCATTATTTATTTGTTATGTGTTTCCTCACCAGCTTATTTTCATCATGGATTTAATCGTTGAAATAGAAAGATGGCTAGTGTTAATGATGAAATGCTACAGTGGCATTTGTGCCCATCCTTTCATATATATTATATTTAGTGTTTACTTAGTGTTGAATTGAGCCAACTAATACTTGTATTTTCCTTACTGAACTAGGCAGTAGCCTTCCATGAGCTCCCTTTCAAAACCAGGCTGTAGTATTTAAGTGCATCCATATTTGGTAGGTTGCAGCACTTCTCTGTGGGGAAGGGGAAAGGTGAGATTATTCTTAGATTGGTGGAAATCAGCATAGAATTCCTTAAACAGAAGTCAGCCTGAAGCATTTTAAAATAACTGAAATGAGATGCACAGAAATGGAGTTTTATCTTCAGGTTATGAAGAGAGTTCTGACTACATGTTAAGGTGTGTTGGGGCTCTGTTCAGTCACCCAGTGATGCTTGTTTAAGGCATTAACACAGCTGCCAGGGTTAGGGCACAATTATGATCACATTATCTTATGCAAGCAAAAATGGCCAAGTTATTTATTTCTACGATGTCTGTAGTTCTCGGCCCACACGTGCCAACAGCCACCTGATACATTTTAGTATCTTTAGTACTTTTATTAATAGTGAGAATTACTTGATTGTCTGTAGGCAGCTTAGCTAAATAACTGAATATTTCAATGCAATTCTTTTACATGTCCCAGAGAACCTCACTGGATCACTGTTGTAGTACCTTCTTGCCTTGAGTGGCAGGGGATGGGTATCAGAGCCACACATTTGTCTAAGAAATGCTTATAAACACCACTGTAAGCCAAAACAATGCCAGCAGTAAGTAATATGGTGCTGCTCAACACTTTTGTGACCAGATGTTATGAGACAGAGGCCCCGTTCCACTGGGTGGCCCAAGGGCTGTCAGAGCAGCTGGTCCAGAGTTTCTGAGGCACAGCCCACTCCTCCTGGCCCTGCAGCAGCATGGCTGAGCCATCCTGTGACACCAGGGCCTGTGATCATAGCAGGGAAGTACTGGGCTCAGGGTGGGCATCAGCTTGTGATTTCTTTCTGTGCAGCTCAGCTGCCAGCCCTGGGAGCTTCAGTGCTGCTCCTGCTAAGTGCAGCGGTGGATGGCAGCTGGGATCAGGTGTGTTTTAAAGGTATTTTAGTATTTTCTATGCACAAGCTGAGAAGAGGCTTGGTTACACTGAGCATGAGGTATTTCAGTGTATATACAGCGATATTTTCTTTGTGTGTGTGTGTATACATATGGACGTGACGGTATCTTTTCACAACAATAAAAAATTATTTCCAAAATATTTTTTCTATAAAATTCATGCAGAGACTAAGAGTTGGATGCAGATAAGGCATCTTAGCCATGACCATTCATGCATGTAGGAGCAGAAAGTCTGTTTTTTGTTTGAGTTCTTTTTTTCAGCAGGGTTGGCTAAGCTGTTAAACTCCTTTGCTAACAAAAATGCCAAATGCAGTTCAATAACACGTGCAAGATTGTAATCTAAATATTCATTCTGGAAAGCACATACCTGAGTACCTTGCTTTTAGTGAAACTGTTTACCCATTTTGAAGATGTTTTGTCCCTCATCAAAGAGCCAAAGCATGTCATTACTAAGGTGATCTCAAAATCTTAATGCATAAACCGACCCCCCTTCCTTCAAAACTCTTCACCTGAACTGTTTGGTGATGCATCTTGCAACACGCCAAGACCTTACCGAATGGCTGACTTTCTTTGATGTTTTCCCAATCTAAGTCAGAGATAAGAACTCTAAATATCCTAACCAAAAAAAAAAAATAAAAAAAGTCCAACCCAAACCAGCTCAGTGTACAAATCTACCAGTCTTTTATCAGTTAACATGCACTTTTTTGATTGCTAAAAGTTAAAAATGCAGGTTTGAATGACTTGGCTTAATATAAGAGCATAAAAAGCAGTTATTGTTTACTAAACACTATGTTTACTAAACACTACGACTATCAGCATCTGTGGCCCTCCTCAAGGCTTGAAACACAGAATAAAATAAGGTCCTGCAGAACACTACCAGCTGCCCCTTTAACAGGGGTTCTCAAACATACAGCAACTCATGGTTTTTTGTATTTTCTATTTAGTATTTGCAGCACATCTACTGCAAAAGCTACTAAGTGCAAGTTCTGCCTATACTATTTTTGGGGTGTCTCAAGGCCTTCCCTGGTGCCTCAAAGCACCAGACCTCTGTGGTAGAACTCTACCACAGCTGGAAATTCAAACAGAAAACAGGTCTTCTTAGTTTCAAGACTAACAGCATTTCAGGAACTGTGTGCTTGTCTTTTATTTGGTAGCTTTTTAGCAAAGCACAAAGCCTTGGCCACCAAAAAGCCAAAAGACATCGAGTAACTGAGTATCTCTTCTATTAAGCTCCAGGCTTCGTGTACTGCTGTGTAACAATTTGATTCCAGAAAGCAGATTTTTTTTTCGGGTCCTCAGAGGTAGCTGAAACTACGAATTTCTCATCTCCAAAATAGGGGAGCATAAATAGACTTGTTGGATTTTTAAGAACTTACAGCTTTAAATGTTAAAATGGAAAAAGTCTTTAACAATCACGACTTTCACTCATGTTCCTCATCAGACCTGCTGGAATCAGTCCTTGTTGTGAATGGCTGCTGAAGGAGCCATCCTATTAAAACACAAAGCAAAAATATTCACCAATACCAATTTGTCTGTCTATCTGTAAGCGTTATAGGACAGACACAAACTGACTTTGTACAGCATAGGAAATGTGCCAGGGCATTCTTACTGTTTAAAAATTAGTAGAAAGCACACAGGACTTGCATGGCCCTTTGTTTACTTGAAGTGTACTATAACACCAGCAGTATTTCTGTCTTTCCACTACTTGATCCATTTTAGGAACAGATGTTTTATGTTCTACGTAACACCAATCCATTTGCTTTGTTTCTCAACTGAAAAAAAATAATTCCGAAGCTGTTTCTGGACTAGGAATTTTTTTCATATGTCAATCCAAACAGGAAGCTTTTGGTATTACCATGTTCAACACTAATTGGCTCTCCTCCTCTAGACTATTCATAACCCCCAGAAATTTTAATTGAGTTCCTGTCCTCTTAGGCTCTTGCCCTTGCTTCTTCTCACTCTCCTTGCTGGGTCACCCACTGCACTGAGTAGTGGGAAATACATTCATGGCAGCAGGTTACAAGACTAAAATGATGTATTGCCTGAGGTGCTACAGCTGTTCTGAAAGAGTCAGCTGAACACCACCTCCAAACCTGCACTTTCAGTTATCCTGTGTTTCCAATTAAACACAGAACCAGATTTCAACTCTCATTTGTTCCAGGATGAGAAATACCCTCAGTACTGGAATTTTGTGGGACAGATGCCAATTAATTATATTTTTTAAAAATCAGTTTTACCATCAGCACATCTAAGGACTGTGTTCCTGTACTAAATGTATAAGTTGGCGTAAACTACACGTAAAGCCTGACCTTTTGTAAGGGGACACCAGCCCACCTCCAGCTCCCATTTATACAAGCAAAACAACAAAAAAACAATATCTGTCTTGAATCATTGGAGGTTTAAATGATGTTCGAAAATCTCAAATTAAACACAAATCAGACTTAGTGCTAACTGGAGTTGCGATTGCATCTCCACAGCTGATTACCAGATGGGAAAACTATGCCTTTCTGGAAAGGCTGACATAGCTTGAGCAGAAATGAAAATGGGAACAATACTGGATACAGCCATACGTCAAAACTTTATGCAGTAACGTGGGCATGTGTCTGGATACAAGAGGGCAAGTGAAGAGGTAGATTGTCAGAGGTGAGCCTACAAGCAATCCCAAGAGTAAAAGATTTCCATCTAGTCATTAAAGACAGTTACAAGGAAATTCACTCAGCTGCACCTAAAGGGATTATATGATCTCTCATCCCAGAAAGGGAGGGGAATGCAAAACACTTCCAGCAGCAGTGCAGGGCTTGAGTCTCCCAGCATGACCTACAGGTAACTGCTGGCTCAGTTCACTGTTCACAGTTCCCATCATCTGCTCACTAAGGGACTGGCTGTTGTTCCCATCCCTAGTTTGAGATGGGAAGATCAGAATTTTTTTATCCACAAAAATGCTTTATACAGTTCTCCAGTAAACCAGAGACTTTTTTTTGTCTTTTATTATTTCTTCTTTAAAGTTTTGATTAAAAAAATCCAACCAAAACACACCACCAAAAAAAAAAAAAAATCAACACAACTTTACTACATTTATTTTTAGGGTTTTCTTTCTGTCTCCTTCCCTTAGGCATGAATGGAAAGTCACAGCCATGATGGGAAGGCATTGTTGTGTTACAGAGCTCTCATATACAGAATTCTCACTTTGGTCTTCTTGCCACCACAGTAGCATTTATAATGCCAGCACATCCATATCTGCTTAAAAAAAACATCAAGCCAAAAAATCCCACACTGAAATACTGTCCCACATTGCAGGAAATGTGACTGGAAGCCTCATACCTGTAGAGACTGACCTTTCAAGAGACTCAAATCTTTTGCATTATGCATAAAGCTCCTGATGGGATGTGTCTAATGCAACACTGAATACACCAAACCAGCAGAAAGCAGAATCAGTGGGTATGTGACTTATGAGTAAGGCTGATGGTAAGGTGTTTTGGGGCTATCCCTTGCACACCATATGACACCACTGACATTTTTCAAGGAGCAAAGCACACAAGATCTTTGCCCTTACCTGCCAAGAAAAAAAAGAGAAGGAAGCTGGTAAGTCATTTGAAGCACAGAACCTGTCCACAGCTTGCAGGCAGC